TCGCAGGCTGCGGGACGAGCTTGCACGAGCGCTTTGACGGCCGAGCAGAACCGATTGATGTGGACTTGCCAAGTACAGTATTGCCATTGGCTCCGTACGCGTCTGGTCGCCCCGCTCCGTCTGGCTGGATATGGTGTGCGTTATGGAGCGATCAACGAGCGAAACGAGCAGTGCCTGTGCTGCATGTCCGGTCGATCATGTGTTCAACGACATGTGTTCGGCGACATGTGTCTGATGGCACATGCACGTCAGCTCCGACGAGTAAGTTTGACTGAAGCCATTTACATCGACGGACCCAGTTCCAGTTGGCGCTGCGCAGATGCCGATCACTCGGGAGTGTGCACCCGTTTGTTGCTGTCGCTTGTCCCGTCGAAGGTGTGGCAACAAACGTCTCTGTCGCCCCACGACCGCAATGGATGCAGCCTCGTTGGTGGTGTTCCGAAGAGCAGGAGACCGAGCTTGATTGCGAGTTGCTGGATGTCGTGTGGCTACACGATGGCGTACGACTGCCTGCAGACGCACGAAGAAGACGTTGAACCCCACGGGTTGAAACGGGATGAGCTGGAATGCGTGACCAGGTCAATGGCTCAGCGATAGGGACAGTGTGTTTGCGAGAGCGTCATCAGAGAACTGCAGCGAGCCGTTGTATGAGACCCCATCATCTCTGTATCGCACGTCGAGTCGTGTGCTTTGGTATGCGCAAGTGCATTGAGACGGCCGTCCGTCCAAATGGTGACAACAGCACTTGTTGCACTTGCGAATGAATGGGTCAACTAGCGGTCACTTTGTACGCGACTCCTCACACGGCAAACAGGAAGGAAGTCGACCACATCTCAGCACTCGTCGTATCGCTTCGATACGATCGATTCCGTTCCACGATGTCGATTCCGTATGATGTTCTGCCAGCATTGTCACTCGTCGTACATGTCCATCTCTGACTCGATCGATCATTGAATGATCTGCAGAGTATCTGAGGGCACTCACTCGGCACCAAATCTCACGAGTCGGTACGTCTACCGAGTGTGTACCACCCACCACGCTGCATCGTACCACCCACCCACGACGCTGCAGGTATCCGGATAAGCTCCCACTTGACCGCCGTCTCAAGTCGTCTTAAGACAGAATACACAGCACCACATACACAGTACCACATACGCGGCACCACATACACGATACGCCACTTCTTATCGCGGCTTTCACGCGACGCTCATGGAGATCCAGCTGAACGCCGCCCCAGACGAGGACAGCGCGGCAGAAGACGCGACCGATGCGCCGTCGAGTGTGCCCCACACGACTGTGCGCATGTCGTCGCTGCTGTCGGAGGACACGGGCACTCCTCGCGGCACGTTCGACGCCGCAGCGTCCGCTCCGTCTCGCGGTCTCTCGAGTCTCCTGCACTCGCCCCAAGCAGCTGCCGTCGCGGGATTCGTACTTAAGCGGACTCCCGACCGTCTCGAGGCGGAAGGCCCTACGATGAGGGACACTGTCCCAGTGGCAGACGCAGCGAAAGAGACGCAACAGCTGCGACTGGTCATGTTGCAGGGCACTCGTCCAGAGCTACAGGCGGTGCAGACGGAGCTGGTGGCGGCGCTGAAGAAGCTGTGGACCGAGACGGGACCGGCGCCCAAGCGGCCGAAGAAGAGCAAACAGCTGCGGAGAGGGAGAGCGGCTGTGCCCGAGAGCGGCGATGCAGCAGAGACAGAGGTGCGTCGCGTGCTGGACGAGCTCTTGCGCACGCTGGACACGCCGTTTCTGGCCGACACGGGCGTCGTCGACGACGTTGTGACGCTCTGTCTGACGTGTTACGAGCTCGTGGACGCGCACAATGCGGTCGAGAATCTGGTGGTGCGACGCTCGGACGGGCGCGAGATTGCAGTGGATCTGGACGAAACCGTGAAGAAGGTGTTGAGCGATTCTCTGTATGGACAATTGATGACAGTGTTGAAGCGTGCAGTGCTGTGTGGCGGCGACGAGACGGGAGAGCGTGTGGTGAGACGGATGCTGGATTGGTGTGTGGCTCGCCCGATGCCGTCGAGCTGGACGTGGATGTTCGTGGCTGTTGCTGAGACGGAGGCGTACAGTGTTCACGACTGTCTGTTTCGAGAAACACTTGCGAGATGTCAGCGTCAGGATGAGCATAACGACCAGGTACAGCACTCGCTTCCAGTCTTGGAGTCGCTGGCGGAACAGCACCCGGCTCAGATGGTGGACATGCTGCGTGATGTGTTGCGCGAGTGTGCATCGAGCAACGACGGACCAGCAGATACAGTGATGCGGCTGATGCGACTGGCGAGTGACTCGGCTGTCCTCGTTGCTGTCTGTGACGACAGCCTTCAGTGGGTGATCACAGAAGAGCTGGTCCAAACACTTTGCAGCAAGTGCTGGGAAAATAGTGCCAAGCTGCATGCGGACGGGATGGAAGCTGAGCTGCTCCATGTTGTCCGCACACGAAGTGCAGAGCTTTCCAACTCGGGCTTCCAGTTGCTCCTCCTGCTGCAAAGCTTATCTACATCCGACACGCCGTCACCATCGAAAGCTTCTGTGGCCTCGTTCCAGCGTCGTCTGTATGAGCTGGCTGGGTCGGAACCCTCACGCGCGTTCATTGAAGGAATCTACCGCTTCCTTCCTTACATCTGCCAAAAGACTCTGCAGCTACTCCGCGTGATGACTCAAGCTGACGAAGCACCAAACGTGAGCGAGACTGCAGGACCTGACCAAGCAATGTCAGCGAAAGCAGCGCGTCAACACTTCAAAGAATGGAAGCAATGGATGTGTCTGCTCGCACAGTCGATATCTCGACAAGAGGTGACCGAGCTGCTCATACAGACCGATTTGATGTTGGCGGAGTGCAACGAGTTACCTTGTAGTCAAGTTGCGGACGGCGCACTGTGCGACTTGTTGACGTCGTTGCTACCCCCTGGATCACCTGAGTACGTCGCTTTCGTGCGCAACATCGTATTGGAATGTCGATCTGCTGCCCCGAGAACCCAACGTCGGATTCTCGATATCGTCAGAATGTTGCTGAACGTTGACAACATGGAAGACGCAGTCGTTGCAAACCGTGGTCTCCCACTGAAGCTATCTGCAGAACACGACGCATCTTGCGTGCAGCAGCTCATTCGCGCGAACAATTGGACCGAAAACATGACGTTGTTTGGGTTGTGGAATGGCATACGCGGAGTGGAGTTCTGGGAGAGTTTTCTGGATCTGACGTGCTCGAAGGACGCTCTGGTCGCCTCGCGCGCGCTAGTTCTCGTGTCCCAGACACCGTTTCTATCCCTTGACGACCCGGCTTGGCAGTATCGATGTGTACGAAAGCTGACAAGCGTCTTTTTCTTGATGCTGAGGCAATACCGGTCGACACTCGTTATGCGGGAAAAGGAAAACCTCGGCGAAGTACGGACGCCCTTGGACACTACTTTCCAGAGTCGTCTGCAAACCCTCAAGATGGTCGTGCTTTGCATCGTGACGCTAGATGGCGGCGTCGCTCACTGCCCGTGCTCCGTGTACAGCATGTTTGCGTCCATGTGGCTGGACGCACTGCTGAGCACAACGTCAGCGACGAGCATTCCCACCCATTTCCCCAACACTGTGAACTTCGTCGACTTGGATGCAAACGACGAGCTGCATGAGGACCAGATCATTCGCAGCGAGCGCACTATCAGCTCCAAGTGCACGAACTTGCAGTCATCGCAGGTGATAACAAAAGTTGCCGAGACGAAGCTGGTGTACCGGAAGACGCTCGACTCGTCTTGGGAGTGTGAAATGCACGCCGCGCGCATATGCAGCATGTCGGCCACAGATTTGTTCGCTCAACTTCTCGGTCCCAGCACAATCGCTGCCAGTGTACGGGATGATGCTCGGGCCAAAGACAAGAGTGTATCGAACTCGGAAGAAGACGAGCTGCTCGAGAGGAGGTTGAGGACTGTGGTGGACATGCTTTTGGAGCGTGTGGTCCCATGCTGTGGCATTCCAAGCGACGACGTGTACAAGGACATCCTGCCGAATCGCTCCAGCTTTGATGTTGACTTGCGCGTGGAGCAGTGGCTGAACCACTTTCCTGCGTTCCTCCCGCTGTTGCGTGCCGTGGTCTCGACGTCCGTGGTGCTGAATTCGTCGCAGCTGCTCCGTCTCGTGCCTGTGTTCAAGTCGACGTTGATCGTGTTGCTGGGCCACTGGAACAGTGTCAAGGGCGACCTGAGCGTCGAGAACGTCGACGTGCCTCCGTACATGCGCAACAAGAACCAGCTGGCGATCACGTGCGAGTTGCTTCGGCTCGTGCGCAGCACCCGTTGGTTGCCGGTGCCTTTGGGCAAGACAGCGGAGCTGCTGCCGCTGACGACACCGGCCGACATTCGCTCGATCCTCTTCAGCTGCTGGTTCTATCTGTCCGACCACCCGCCGAAAGCTGGACTGCGTGGACCTGCACCATGTGCCCCATCTGCGCCACCGTCTCCACTGTCGTCGGTCTCGTCTCCTGTTGGTGCTGCTGGTGCTGGAGGTGCTATTGCAGGAGGTGCTGGAGGTGGTCTGTTCAGCTCGTCCAGTTGTGGCCCCAGCTCGAGCTCGAGCTCGAGCAACCCGCCGCTCGAGTTCTACTTGATCCCCGTACGGAGAGCGCTGCACCGCAACATTGGCAAGATCGGCGCCAAGTATCCGCTGTTTGCGTGCTGATGGAGACAGACGCGCCGTGTGTCGACCGTGTCGCCATTGTATCGCATCGTATCGTATCGTGTGTGTGCGTGTGTACTATAGTGATCCTACGTTCGTATCGTGCGCGTGTTTGGTGACTCTCGGTATCCTGCGTCCGTATCGTGTGTTGTGCACGATAGCAGCAGCACGCTATCGACGCTTTCGAGCCGACGCCTCGCGTCCCACGCGCTTGCAGTCCGTACTTAAGCGCTGGCGTGCATCCCCCGCCCCCGCTCGCTGTGTGCTGGTTTTCATCCAATCAGCGGCTCCTTCGGCATCGATGGAGACGCGAACCGGAGCTCTTCCCGATGGCCGCCGCCGCCGCCGACGTGGAGCTGCTGCTCGTGCGCATCGACCGCTTCCAGGACCGCACTAAGTACGTCTCCGTGCTGCGCGCGTGGCTGCGCGAGCTCGAGATCGCGCACGGGCGTCTGATCCGCATGGGCGCCGACCTGCAGCTGCTGTTTGTCGCGGCGTCGGCGTCGCAGAACGCGCAGCTGCGGCAGTGGTACCGCACGCGGCCCATTGACACGAACTGCCGCGGCGAGCAGTGCGTGGACAGGTTCGTGGACGTGTTGGGGACGAAGACGGTGCAGCGCTGCAGCTGCAGGGGCTTTGTCGAGATGGAAGTGCTGGTACAGAGAAGAGAGAGAGAGAGAGAGAGAGAGAGAGAGAGAGAGAGAGAGATGACATGGAGAGAGAGATACATATATATGTACACATGTAGGGAGCGAGAAGTTGGGGTGACGGAGGGCTGACGGACGGACTGACTGTTGGGCTCTTTTTTTGCTGGTGGTGGGTAGAGCCCGACGTTGCTGCAAAAGGTGCTGGTGCACGAGTGGCAGGCAGAGCAGGAGTGGCTGGACACGGCGCTGGCGACCACGCGGACGAAGGCGTTTCTCGCGTGGAAAGAGGCCGCAAAAGCTGCGCGTCAACAGCGGAGGAAGAAGGAGAGACAGGAGAAGGAGGACGCGCGCGCGCGGAAGCGAGCAAAGAGAGCGCAGGAGGGGCCTGACGAACGGGACGGGCACGAGGAGGCAGAGGTCGGTGGGGAAGTAGCTGCGCGAGACGCATCGGTTGAGGTGGACGAGGACAGTACGCGGCAGACAGCAGTAGCCGCACCGAAGCAAGAGGAGGTCGAGCAAGAGGAAGTCCAGCAGCCGTCGAAGAAGGCGGCGAGGCCGAAGAACAAGAAGGCAAAGCAGCAGCCAAAGGATGGACCCATTGACGACGATCGCAGGTGAAGAAAGAAACAAGAGGACTTGCTGGGGCTGCACTGCACGAGGTAGAAAGCACGACCACAGCGTTGCAAGAGTTATACCGACAGCTGACATCGATCGTTGTCAATCAGGTCAACAGCACATTGTAACAAGACACTGGCGGCCATGTTGTTCAACGACACCCCAAAAGTAGCGCCATGCAGTTCAAGGCGTTCATGGGATGCGATATCCCATATGCATCGGGTACGAACCATTTTGTGGCTCGCCTCTGTTCTTTGCCTATGCTTCAGCCCGGCGCTTCTCCGCAGCAGCTACGGCCTGTGCAAGACTTTGCTCGAATGGCGGGTAGCACACGCCTTCCTCCGTGATAATGCCAGTGAGGTATCGATTCGGCGTCATGTCGAACGCCGGGTTGAACACTGGACAGCCTTCGGGAGCAATCCGCACGCCTTGAACGCACGCGACTTCCTCGGCACTGCGTTCTTCAATTGGAATGGTGCTGCCTTCGAGGAAGCTCAAGTCCACGGTGCTCGTTGGCACGCAGGCGTACACGGGCACGTTGTTCTCGTGCGCGACCACCGCGAGTTTGTACGTGCCAATTTTGTTCACGACGTCGCCATTCGCTGCGACGCGGTCGGCACCAAAGAGCACGACGTCGACTTTGCCCGTGAGCATGAGCAGTCCCGCGGCATTGTCAGCAATGAGGTGCATGGGCACTTGTTCGCGCATGAGTTCCCAAGCCGAGAGACGCGCGCCCTGCAGCCGCGGCCGCGTTTCGTCCACCCACACGTGGATGCTCTTGCCCTGGGCATGACACTCGTAGATCACGCCAATGGCTGTGCCAATGTCCACGGTCGCCAAGGCGCCCGTGTTGCAGTGGTGCAGGATGTTGCTCCCTGACGGCACAATGGCCGCGCCAAACTCACTCAGCCGCTTGTTGATCGCCACGTCCTCTTCCGCTAAGGCCTGAGCGACCGTCAGCACATACGCTGCGAGATCGTCGACTGTCCCTGGCGCTTCGCTCTGGGCCTTGAGACGAAGCGCTTGCACGACACGGTCCGTTGCTACGTCCGACAACAGCAACAGCAAACAAGCAGAGACAGTCAGTCCGGTTCGAAAGTGCAGGTCCCGCCATAGGTATAGTTGCAGTTATAGTTGAAGTTGCAGTTATAGTTGCAGTTATAGCAAATAGCTCTACATTTCACGGCATTCAGTTGGCCACAGAACGGATCAATTGGACGTACCCCACGTGAGGTTCACAGCCGTCGGTCGAGCCGCATCGATCGTAGCTTTCGCCTCGTCGACTGCATGCAGTAAGTCGGCTATCGCGCCAGCCCCGTGCGCTTTGTGCGTCGCGACAAAGGCGTTGGCCCCCAGTGCGAGTCCAAAGGCTCCAGCCGCGCCAATGGCCGGCGCGCCCCGCACGGCCATATCGGCAATGGCGCGCGTGACGTCGTCGACCGAGTGGCATTGTAGTAGCACGAGCTCTGCTGGCAGTTTGCGCTGGTCAATGAGCTGCAGGCCATTGTTGGTCCAGAGCACGGACCGAAGACGCGTTGAGGGCATGGGAAGAGAGGCTGATGGGCTTGTGATCGCGTGTCAAGTGACTGGTGGAGACCGCACGTCTGTGGGCGTCTTTTTAGGGTATGGAGGAGCAAGAAGAGCAGGGGAAGAAGGAGGGAGACCAGACTTTGGATGTGTCAATGGATCGGTTGCTGCTTCTCTCGGTACGAGATGCAGGTCGGTAGGATTTGCCACGTCGTTCAGTACTTGTTGATGACATTGCTGGGCAGTGAGCTGAACGTGGCTGGACAATGGAACTGGAAGCAGGCGACAACGTCTTGACTTTCACGTGTTGATGCATAAATATACTGTACCATCGCGCAACAGCGTCAGTCACTCTCGTCCTTTGCATTGCCGCTTTCGACAGACTGTGTCTTGCTCGCTGCCCGTGCGCTCGTGCTGTGTCTTCTTTCGCTTCGCTCGCTTCTCGGGTTCTTCGACGTGCATCACGTTAGCATCGAGACAAATGTCCTTGTTGAGAACCTGTAGCCACAGGAGCTGCTTGTCACTAAGTCGGTCTCGAGGCCCCTTGACTTCCACGCACTTCAACTGCACAGCACCGCTCTCCCGAACAAGCTCCAGCACAGTGTCCACGATCGACTCCTCCAGCTTCTCGCCCGACACTCGCTGGTTCCCATCGAGCCTTTCCACACTCGACCGAGTCTTTGCGTTCATGTTCAAGTGCTCGTCCATGCTGCAGAACGCGTGCACGTTCAGACAATCGTGACGGTCCACACACCAGTGCAACCACTGCCTGGCGTGGTCTCTTGCTCGACTTGGCAGCTCAAACCGCAGCACAAGCAGATCCGGGAGCCCGTTTTGCGCCTGGTGGAACTCGCTTGACGTTGCCATGTACCGCAACAGGTTTGCCAGCGCGGTGCGTCCGATCGCTGCAATCGTCAGCAGGTGGAACGTCAACCAACCTGCATTGTTGTCATCACTTGGCCACTGCACAAAGCGAGTCACCTTACCAACCTCTGCTTTCCATCTTGATGCAACTGCCGTCAGCAGCTCCGCCAGTGTCCACGTGTGCTGCACGAGGCGAAGCTGCTCGTCAATGAGGTCCCGTCGAGCGGCGTAAAAGACATCGGCGTAGCCAAAGTCCAGCGGACCTGATTGAAACGGTGTCTGGAACACGGCGGGAACACTCGCGTACAGCACGTCCCACATCAAGAGCCCAAACAGGTTGCGGAGCACAGAGCCTTCGCAATGCAGACCGTACCATCCGCCAGTCTTGACGTGCTTGTCGTGCCCATCAACAGGGCAGTGGTCGCGGTAGTACTGCAACACGAGCTGCTCGACCGTACAGGGCTCGTCGTCGTAGCCCACGAACCGCGACTTTTCTCCCGTTTGGCGATTCAATGGACGGCCGACAATGTGGTCCTGGCGATACGAGTACGTGCACTGCCCTGCAACTGCCATTGCCTTCTCTTCGTCCTCATCCTCATCGTCGCTGATAGCCACGACTTGAACGGACGCACTTGTTGTAGCACGTTGTTGCCGTGCCAGGCCAGTAGACGACTGCAACTTGACTCGATGCGCTTCTTCTTGACGGGCATAGCAGCGGCGCAGTCGATGCAAACGCCTTTCCAGTGCAAGTCGATCGGCTGCCAGCACGTGGTCGTCTTCGAGAGCATTCACACACGTGTCGATCGCTTGAGGAATGCACTTCATGTGCTCCAAGTTGAGCGCCAAGCGATCCCACCAGTACCCGCGCTTGTGCTCGAGGAACGGTGCCGCCAGCACGTCGTTGAGCAGCAAAGTCGCCACTTGGTACCTTCGCATCTTCTCGTACAGCCCCACTGCCACGTGCAAGATTCGCACGAGGTGGTAGCCAGCGTTGCACTTGGCCAAGAAGACGGGCACGTCCACAACACGAGACGCAGCACCTGTTGCCATCCACTTGAGATACGTCTGCAGACAGCTTCTGCTTGCCAGCACGAGATCGTCCAGCGACTCCATCGCTTCCACCTCGCGGTAAAACTGGTCCCAACTTCGCATCTGCCAGTCCTCAGACCCGTCAGCGTCTCGACTCATTGAGTCCATCACCAGCACAACGTCGTCGTCGTCAGCTTCAGCTTCACATTTCTCTTCTTCTTCCTCCTCCTCCTTTTCTTCCTTCTCTTCCTTGCAGCCGACTGCCAGCAGCCTCTGGAACGCAAGAAACACGGGCGGTGCGGTATCCCACAGCATCCACTTGAGCTCCAACTCGGGTTCCTCAAACTGCTTCTCAGGTGGCACAATGCACAGGCACTGCTTGACAACGCTCATGATCCGATGCAACTGGTACGCGACTTCATAGCTCACGTACGCCTCGGACGATGGAAACAGGCAGTGAGTGCGGCTGCAGCGCTGCAACGCGCTGTCCTGCACGGCGTACGCTGGATAGACAATCTTCTGGAACGTGACCATCAGACCCGGCCACGGCGTCGGTTCTTGCCGCAGTTTCTGCACTGCAAGCGCCAGCAGTGCCCGTCCGTCTGCCACTTGCAGCGGCCCCAGCGACGCCGTCCTGAACACAGGCGTTGACGCCATGTAAAACAACCGGTGCATGCGCAGCATCAGGTCGCGCGTGGCAGGCGTCAAGCGCAGCACCATCACGTCCACCAGCTGTTTGCCCGCGAGTGGGTACGCGTCGAGCCAAATCTGCTGCATCAACTGCGCAACGGGTAGTTTCGAGCCATTGATGCGGGTCTGCGTCTTGGCGACCGCCCGCACAGCCGCCAGCAAGTCGCCTTTTCGGGCCGCGTGTCTACGGCCGCCCGTCATGCGCCTGTACAGCGTCGAGAGCTCCAGCGTCGATGCACAACGGGCGACAGCGTCCAAGACCGTGTCCAGCGTCGCGCGTTCCTGTTGCTGCTGCTCGACGCGCGCCTGGCCAGTCAATGGGTGGTGGGCAGCTACTGTAGCCATGTCGGGCAGCCAGGCGGACGAGACGGGGAAGGGTTGCACGAGCCCAGCATCGAGCATAGCGCGCACGACATGCTGGACGTCGGTGTGACGAACGGACTGGACCTGCTCGTCGTGTCCTCGTTGCACCCGTGTTGCTGTTGCCGTTGCACTTGCACTTGTTGTTGCCCTTGCCGTTGCCCTTGTTGTGGTGTTGTCGTTGTCATAACGCGCAGTCTCTTGGCGGGGTACAAAGTATCGGCAGAGCGACGCCGTCTTGACCCACGTTGCTTGACGCTGGAGCAAGCGCGCGTACAGCTGCTGCGCGCGCGGCCCAATGTCCACGAGGAACCGCGTGGCCAGTGCCACTTCAGCGGCCGAAAACACGTGGCGAAGGGCTGGACGGTCAAACACGATCGACGACAGCACAAGTGTCACGTGGCGCGCATACGCGTCGCGTCGTCGTCGTCGTCGTCATCGTCCGCCCTTGTCGGTGCCTCGTCTGCCGTCGTCGTGACGACGCCGTCATCATGACGGATGACGTCATTGTCGTGCGCCGGCGCAGTCATGTCGGGCACAAACGTGTCGCCACGAACGAGACGGGGGGGTCCCTCGATCGAGTGACTCGCGGTCGCTCCACCTCGGTCGCTCATTGGCTAACTGACGAACGAGCTACTTTTGGTCCACCAAATTAGTCCTTTTGGTCCTTTTGTTTTTGGTCCTTCTGGTCCTTTTGGTCGTTTCGGTCGTTTCGGTCGTCTTTTTGGGGTACACGCTTCGGGTACTCGTCCTGGTTCGCCCTTTCAAAGAGACTACCCCCACGTGCGAATCAGCATTCGCAGGAATCGATTAGACAGGTAGACGGTCGAGCCCACTCGTCCTGCGTAATGCCGTGCCATTTCTCGCCGTCCACGCGGCGACCCAGCGACCCGTTCGTCTCTGCTGCACCGTCTTCCGAGGCTACGGACGCGTCGGTCGTCGTCCACAATGTGCCCGCTACAAGTCCCGCAGCAACGCCGTCGTCCGCATTGGTTCGTGCCACTTCACCAACTGCCGTAACCCCCACTGCCCCTGCTCCGACCACTTCAGCCATCGGCTGCTGCTGCTGCTGCTACTTCAACGTCCCTCAAAGTCCGACGCCCAAGCACTGGCAATGGCAATTTGACAAACTATCAGCGGAAATTAATCTGTGAGTTCTACCGGAAAAGCGGCGGCGTCATGTCGCAGAAAGATTTGGCCCAGTGGACGAAACACGAGTTTAACCTCAAGAAAACGCCTGCGCAGTCCACGATCTCGGGCATTCTGCGTCGCCAGCACGAGTTCATCAACATGAGCTCGCTCGAGTTGGGCATTAAGAAGCGCCGCGTCGTGCAGCACCCGCAGCTCGACAGTGCACTGGCCAATTGGGTCATTCAGATGGCCGGTCGCGGGCAGACAGTGCAGGGCGACCTGACCAAGGAAAAAGCCAAAGAGTTTGCCAAGATGCTCGGGATCCCTGATAACGAACAGCCCGAGTTCTCGAACGGATGGCTCCACTCGTTCCAGTTGCGGCACAACTTTAGCTTTCGGAAATTCAATGCCGAGCACCATCAGCATCAGCAGCATCGGCATCAGAATCAGATTCCTGGAAGTAGCAGCAATAACATAAGCGAGCTGGACGATGGAGTAGCAGGGGGTGTACCAGCAGCAGCAGCAGCTGTTCTTGGGATGCCGATGCAGCCTCGTCGGACGGCGATTGCGACGTCGAAAGTGCTTTATTGGACCAGTATGGACGCTCTGCTCGAGGAGAGCGACAAGTACGATCCGAAGGACGTGTTTGCGGTCGAAGAGACGCCGGTGCTGTATACAATGCCACCGGTGCAGAACGCACTGAACGAAGGCCGCATGCGCTGCAAAAAGCGCTTTGTCGTGTCGCTGGCTGCGAATGCCGATGGCTCGGAGAAGCTCCAGCCGCTGTTTGTCTCGCATCGAGAACACCCCAAGTGTTTTCGCAAGAAGACTGCGGAGCAGCACGGTTTGCACTACTTTAGCAACAACAAGGCGTGGATGACGGGCGTGATCTTTTCGCGCTGGCTCCAGCGACTGGACTTTGCCATGGCGAGTCAGAAACGCCGCATTTTGCTGTTTATCAACGACATGCCGTCGCATGTGGTCACGCACCTCGACTTGACAAACGTCGTGGTGTTTATCTTGACGCCCGCTGTCATGCAGATGCTCAATCCGATCACGTGTCGCGTGGTAACTGCGTTCAAAAAGCGCTTTCGTCGCTACCATTTGCGCCATGCAATTGACAAAGCGGAAGCAAAGCACGTGATGTTTGACGTCGACGTGCTGCAAGCAATGAAGTGGGCGGCAATTAGCTGGGACGAAATCACAACCGAGACGATCAAGCGCGCGTGGGTCCCAACGCAATTGGTGCGGAACCGCGTGCAGATGGACGAGCACGAGTTGTTACAGGAACAAGAAGAGATCTTGCTGGACACTGAGCTCGAGCATTTGATGATGTTCTTGCACCTTGCGAATCCGATTCCCATGATGGAGTACTTGGACGACGAGACCATGTCGGATTACCCCGTGCACGAAGACAAGTTTGACGTTGTGTCAAACGTGTGTGAAGTGCCGGAAGACGAAGTGGACGACACGGTTGAAGAAAGTCCGGGGCGCACGTTGTCGCTGCAGGAGAAGCTGAAGGCATTTCGTGACGTGCTGCATGTATTGAAGGACCGAAGTGATGCCGATGACGGCGCGTTGAACGCGATTCGACGGATACAGGATGCGATTCGACTGGAAGGTCAGAAAGAGGCGATGGGGGCCCTGCATGGCAACACGGGCGACGTGAAGGACGTGTTTGATCTCGACACGTCGAGCGATAGTGCCAACGCTTCTGCGCATGCGATGATGGCACTGGAACCCGACAGCCAGCAGCAGCAACAGCAGCACATGGATGCGTCTGCGCTGCTCGACTCGTCCGAGAGCTCGGCTCTTTCCGCCGCTTCTGCCTCGTTGGCCGAAGGAGCAGGAGACCATGCAAGTGGTATGATGGCGGGAGCAGTGGAGAGTGACAATCGGCAACAACGTTTCCACGCAGTGATTTAGCTCAAGCGGTGTATGAACGTGGCGAGAAGGCGAGAGGACAGAGGCGGGCGGAGATGTAGCTTAGCAGCCGAGCGAGTTGTCATCGGTAGTGTGATGAGGACGCGTGTGTACGTACGCTCAGTCACGGCAAACCCGTGAGCAATGGAAGCACGTAACCGCTAAGGGGGAGCAGCACATGCAACAAGTAGCAGCCACATGTCCATCTTTGGTCGTGTTTGTATCCACTACGTAGCTGTTCGTCATGTCCATATGGTACGCACGAACGAACGAACGAACGAACGGCCTTCCAGTCAGGAGCTCTTCAGGCCGTTTACCTCTCCCGTTCAGCGCCAAACGCAATCAATCGATGGAAGTCGACTTGTCCGACATGACCTCTCTCGCTCGACGCGTCCCCTCCACCCGTTCTCTTGTCTCCAGTAACCCACAAGACAACCTCTCGACCGCATCTATGGCCCCCACAATGAACGCCGACGACAGTGTCGTTGTTGTCGTGCTGTATTACAAGTACGTGCAAATCTGCGAGACGCTCGACGCGTTGGAAGCCTTTGCTCGCGAGCATCGCCACTTGTGCGCGTCGTTGGGGCTCACTGGTCGCGTGCGCCTCGCGCTCGAAGGGATCAATGGAACGCTCGGGGGCACTTCTTTGAACGTCCAGCGCTACGTCGAGTACATGCAGACGCAACGTTTGTTCACGGACATTGACTGGAAAACCAGTGCGTCCGCTACCGCGCCGTTTGCCGACCTGCGCGTGCGCGTCGTGGCCGAAATCGTCGCACTCGAAGTGCCATCGACGACGTACGACTTGACGCAACGGGGGCACCACTTGAGTCCGGACGAGTTCCGTGCCGAGCAATTGCAGAGCGACCCGACGTCCATTGCAGTGATTGACGTGCGCAACGCGTACGAGGTGCAAGTCGGCCACTTTGCCCATGCGCTGAACCCCAACACGCGTCGCTTTGGGCAGTTCCCGCAATGGGCGCAAGACCACTTGCACGTGCTCGAGCAGAAGCAAAAGGTGCTCTTGTACTGCACCGGTGGGATCCGATGCGAAAAAGCGTCGGCGTACCTCAAAGGCCTCGGGCTCGCGAACGTTTTCCAGCTCGCCGGTGGGATCCACCGCTTCCTCGAGCGCTTTCCAGACGGCGGTGGGCTCTTCCAGGGCAAGAACTTTGTCTTTGACCAGCGCGGGACGCTGGCGTCAAGTGACGAGGCCATCATTGGCCAATGTGCGCAGTGTCACGCGCCCCATGATACGGTCTCTGGTGTCCGCTGTGCCTACTGTCGCATGCACGTGTTGCTCTGCGACGCGTGTCGAACGCGTGCCGCAGTAACACAGCAGGACGACGAGTCGCAGCAGCTCGTCGACGTGTTTTGTAACGAGCATTTGCCATTGGTCTCGGGGTCGCTCGAAGAGCTCCACGCGCGTGTCGCACTGCTCGAAGAAGAGCTACAGCGTGCACACGGCCGACGGCAAAAGGGCCGCCGTCGCTCGTTACGGAAACAAGTGGACACGGTCACGAAGCGGATCCAGCGACGACAGCAGGTGCCCGAGACGATGGCGTGCGTGCGTGAGTGAGTGAATGATTGAGAGCAGGACAGGATAACGCGCGTGCGGTGCGGTGCAACGACTGTAACTACACTGTGCAATCAATGGCTCAGGCGTCGCATTGCAACGTGAGGCTCTTTTTTTCCAGGTACAAACGGGGACTCGCCTGAAGAGCGATCCACGATGACCAGTTGACTTGCTCATTCCATTATGCTGTCCACTCCATTTGATGTTTTCTCCTTTGTTGTGTCCACGTCCGTTTGATGCTCTGGGGTTGAGCAGCTACGGGGCATACCGTCTGGCACACCGAAACGTCGCTTGGGTTGCACCTGCTCAGTGACAAATGACTGGACAGGAGGGAGAGGAGGAAACGAGGCAAAGCGGAAGTGGTCGTACAGGAACGCAGTCGATAGCTACTGGACAAGTCGGGCGTGACGGTTGTGTCCGGTTGTTTGGTACCTCCTGGACGACCACGATCAGGACCGAAAGGGCGGTAGTGTTTTCGAGGTGTACGACCGTTTGTCGGGCCGAGTCAGACACACGACGCAAAAGGTCTGTGCGTACACTTCTACGATACGATCAACTGTTGTGGTCCATCGGTTTGGTGGTCGTAGTTGTAAAAAGAAAGCGACCGACGACGACGACGACGGCGGATTGCACGACCGTCGCATGTGGTCGTCTATCGTCCAATGAGCTGCTTCGCTACGCATGCAAACGGCATGTCGCGTTTAGCGTCAGGAGGTCTGAACAACAGCCAGCAATGAGGTTTTTCGAAGACGTGGAGCTGTTCGGCAATAGTGGAGTTTATAGAGACGTTCCGTCGTCGTGGACCGCAGTCAGTGCGTGGCACAAGCGGCACTTCCGTTCACGCTTCGTTACGACAGACATGGCGCCGATTCGTGGCTGCGACATGTGGAGATGGCGCGCAAAAGCCGCCCGACGAACGTGCGTGCGACATTTTGCGACTTGCGTTATCATTTAGCGTCGGTGGTGGCTGCTGGTTAGCGGTTGTGGTGGTTGACACGGCCTCTATTGACTGTAAAGAGAACACGGATTGGTATATCGACGTCGTTCGCGCGGAGGTTACAGTGACGACCGAAGCGTTAGGAGGCGGCGGTACGTACAACACGTAAGAAAAGAAGAAAAAACGAGCCTGTCCTGCTTTTGCTCGATAAGGAGTAATCGACGAAACTGGTGGGGTACGTTCGTGTTCTTACCGTACACCACTGTACACATGCACTGCATATCAGTGCCCGTCTTAGTCAGCATTTTGGCACTAGTGAAATGAATAGCATACGCTCGTCGTAGGTCGCCCGCCCTATCCAAAGCATTCATCCCTCTATCGATCCACCCACCCACCCACTCACCCACTCACTCGCTCTCTCCGCCATACGCTGTCGATCACGGCAATCGATCAGGTCACGAGAACACTCGTGCAAGTGTTCCGAAAACAGACGTGTGGAAGGGTTTCGCTTTTCCGACCGACCGTGTCGAGAGCGTCGCGTTCGTCATACTAGCGTCAAGATAGTCCCAGTCCGCAGGCCGACCGACGACAGAAGCGACGCGCGCGCTCGAATCACGCACAAAAGCACCGCCGAGAAGGCCAATCGGAAGTCAGACAGACAGACAGACCGACAGATAGTCAGACACACCCGACCGACCGACCGACCGACAAAATGTCGACATTGCTGGTGCCTGCTGCAGCTATGGGTACAGAGAGGCCTCCCCCGCTCGTCTAGTGTGTTTTTTGCGCTTGAAAAACGACAGTAACAAGATACGACAAAAACACACGTTCAAATTGCGCGTTTAAACGGTAGAAACGGGGCGGAAACGACGTGCCCGCCCAGCCTCTGCGCCATGTCGCACCAGAGCCGGGCCACTATAAACTACTTGTGGGCAACCCCAGGCCCCTGGTGCCACCTAACCGCGTCTGCGTCTCTCTATAAGCGCTCCCATTCGAGCTGGCGCTGGGCCACGACCTGGGCCACGAGCGCCGCCAGGTCTTTCAGCTGCGCCGACGCGCCCACCACCTGCGCCTCCATGCGCCGCACCGACTTCTTCAGGCCGTCCAAATCCGCCCGACGTCGCCGCTTGGCCGCAACGAGCCCCTCGTCGTCGTCGTCGTCGTCCAACTCACTGCCCGCCTCGTCGCTCTCGTCGCTCGAGCTCTCGCCCGACGTCGAGCAGCTACAGCTCTCACTAGCGCTCTCCTCCGCGAGCAGCTTGGCGCAATACACGGGCGACGATGCGCGTCGTCGTTTGTGGCTCAGCACGCGCGGGTGCTCACCGGCGGTGGGTACCGGCAGCGACGTCTGCGTGGGGGTTTCTGTGCTCGGGCAACGTGGCATTGTTGAAGCAGTCGTGTAGAGGGCGGAGAAACACTGGCGGCGGTCGGTCGTTGCTGTTGCGGTTGCCGTTGCGGTTGCCGTTCCGGTTGCTCTGGTGCGCAATTTCGAAGGAGAGTGCGCGCTAGAAAGCACAATGGGAAATGGCGTCGAGTGCGCCTGCGAAGTCGCTGGAGTTCGAGGGGGGTTATAAAAAAATACGCCAGCTCAAATGGTCGGTCGCTTTATCAGGGGTCGGCGCACTTGTGCGAACTATGTCTTTTCATCCAGCTTGCGAGCGGTCGGTCGGTGAAATCGCCGCCCGGCTTTAGTAACTTACAAATCTCGATGGGTGGCGAACACGGTCGAACTAACCTCGCGATAGCGACTGCGTGAGAGCGCAGACTTGTCAGGTGCGGTCGTCTTCGTGGCGCGAAAGACCTTGGGGTTTGTATGCCTTTGCCGGTCGGTCGGTTCCCCTCAAGACGCTCCCGGTCGGTCGGCATATGCAAACCACTATGCTCCGGTATTAGCCCCCACCGGACGAATTCGACGTGCTTCGCCATCTGTTGACGAGAAAATAATCGGTGCCAAAGTACAAGGAGGAACGACTGAGAAGAACTGGAGATTGCTGCGAAAGAAATAGACTTGAAAAGAGACTCGCGCGAGCATTCCTGCGCACACGGCAGTGTGTTTGCCCGTCTTGTTGCAGCTTAGCTTAGCGTAGCTGGAGGCCACGCGCGCCTCGGGCAAGAATGCAGTCGTGTCAAAATCGCACGCAAAGTGAACGGCCATACGTGCCAAAGACAACATCCGACCGCCACGGGCCAACGGAGGGTTGGCCAGCTGCAGACTTATCTGCTCGAGCACACCACCCGAGCGATGTTGTGGGTTTGCCAATGTTGGAACATGACCGAAGTCGGCTCGACGCAAACATCGATGAATAGTCTCGCCAAGTGCACAATCTAGAAGAAATAAAACATACAGCCATGTCCAAGCGAAGCTACGACCGAGGAAGGAAGGAAGGCCACAGAATTGACCTCGTGGACGACGGCGGTTGTCGTGGCGCTCGTGCTACCGGTACGCTACCGGTACGTGCACCGACTGACTCGCTGAGAGCTGCACCATATCGTGATGCCCAGGAGCGACGACAACAGACTGGCGTGTGGCGTTGCGCTTCTGCGACATGGGTAGCATCAGATCGATGAGCTTCCGCTCGATTCTTTGCCCTCCCGGGCACCGTGCAGTACACGCGTCCGAGTGTCTGGTGATCGATGCTGGCTCTCGCTTCGCAAAAATCATCCTCGCAATGCGAAGAAAGACACGGATTTAGCAATAAAACAGTCAAAAGCACACGAACGAGAACAATGGCAGTACCATTTACAAGAGCACTAAAGCTCCGACGATTACTTCTTCTACCAATGATCATCCGAAAATCAATACGAAACTGTTTCAGCCGCTCTGGTGTGGACGGGCGTCGTGAGTGTCTTAATGCGAGCGGCAAAGTCGGTGACGAAGCGGACTTTATGCGACTGTTGAGCTGTAAACTTCTCACACTCTATGAGTCCAGACACCCCGTCGGTCGGCGATCTCAGCTCGACTACCGTCGATCGACCGCTTCAGGCAGCAGAACGTCGTGACTGCCAATGAGACGACACGTGTGAAACAAGAGCAAATTTTGCACGGGAACATTGCCATGTTTTTTTTGCAGCGTGCTGCTGCTGCTGCTGCTGCTGCCGATCTCGACCTCATGATCTCGACGCTGAAACCCGCGTGCTTCGTTGGCAAGCAGACGCGATTTGCAGCACCTTCAGACGCGTGGGAAAACCGCCCGCCTCGTCTTTGCCGCACGAGGCGCAGGTTTCGATCGACGACGGTGTATCGGGACCGTCATGTACTGCTTTAGATGCCACACACACACACTCCGACGCACACAAGTGCCTTTTTCTGCCTCGTATCGTACGCTGCATTTCCGTCTGCGCAATGACGTGTTTGCTTTCTATATGGCGTGTAATCACTCACTCCACCGTCAATTACTACTTCAGCTCCACTTCACCTGCTCGGCCAGAAAACCCCTTTGCGACAAAAAGAGGGCCTACGCACGGAGCCATTCGACCTCAAGCACTGTATCGATAGCCAATACGGTGACGGCGAGATGGGCCTCTGGACCATATAGAAGCTGCAGCGACAGCGGTCCACGATCCGCACGCTCGTTCTACTTCATACCGCCACAACGTGCCATAATGAGGTAGTAGAAAGCAGGCGTATGTGCTGCAGAGTAAAGAGCCCTTCCATCAGAGTTGTCCCCTCCCTCTGCTGCGCTTTCTGGCGGGAGAACCCACGAACGGGTTACCCACTACATGACACGAACGGCATACTGTAGACGCCCGTCTTCCTCGTGGCGGTAGTGGTGGTCGTCTTTCTCGCCTGCCGTGAGTTTTTCAATATGGTTACAGTACACATTGTATGCGTGTCATGCAGTACGAGTGCGTCCCCATCGATCCTGGTCTTGCCGAGCACATTCGGTTGCCGTGCAAAAGCTCTCGGGCACGTGAGACCGCTTAAAGTGCCACGCACGAGTCGGTGTCAGCTGCTTCGTGGCGAACATCGTACTGTGCTTCTCTTGCGGTCGTACCATTCACTTTGTCGTCTTTCTGACTGTTTCAAGACCAGTACCACTAGAACGCCCACGGCCACGAAGATGACGAAAGTATGTATGGCCAATGCAAACGGTGCAGCTCTCTTTACAGTCATTCGATCCTTCTCGTCCCCCTCGTCTCACTTGCTCGACAGCAAAATGGACACGTAGTAGCACCTTGCAAAGTTCAAAAAGGGGTCGCGAAGTCCAGCGACCGCTATGCTTGGGCTTCATAGTCATTGAAAACCAGACACCATTACGACCGAGCAATGCGATCACATGATCGACAGAGGATCCCGTATGAGCGCTATGTTAAGGATCTTGGTCGACTGTATGGACTGGACCACGACGTCGTCACGCACAAGTAGGTTCGCGTCATTGCAACGTCTACGAGAAGGCGCGACGCCGGTATGTCGTTCATCACTGGTATCGTTTGTTGTAACGGCATCGCAAGAAAAATCGATCGCAGCAGCCTCGATTTGCTAGCACGCATCAGAAAGTGCCTTTTCGTGACCCCAGGAGAGCGCGACGACGACGACGACGACATGTGACAGCCACTTTCCATCGACTATCGAAGCGACAAGTCCATGTCTTCGCATGATGTAGCAGCAGGTCGGTCCATACTCTATCAGACGTCCCCTATTGACCGTTACGTGACCGCGCGGCTCATGCTCCTGCTCTATTCAAAGAAAAAAATTATGCTTCAACTTTCGGGTCCGTCTTCATTTTAGAGCGACTAACTGCCCCACATTTGCTGCAAACGTCAGCCCTTTTCGATTATGTGGCGTATACAAGCAAAGAGACGTGAGTCATCCTCACTGCAGCGACAGTAGCCGCAGCTTCTTGTCAGTGTTTTTCAGACCGCACACGAGTTTGTCGCATCTCGTGGACGCTAATTTGTCCGAATAGGGTGCGGTAACCACGACGACCGTGAGAGAAGTTTCGCGGTATACTCGGCCACGAAAGGACACAAATGTGCCGAGCAAACGACGCGAGGGACAACGACGACAGCGTTGATGTGCGCGGGCGGCACTTTATGGGAAATGGCCAGATCATGAGTCCGTTTGGTCGTACGTTACGGTGCAACCGCGCGACGGACGGGCGTGCTCTGGAATGAGAGAAACAATACTATTCGCAACGAACGACCGCGTTTGTGGCGTCGATCGACGAGCTGTTACACGACGAGCGACATGCCCTGCACGGATCGTGTGGCGTGCTACGGGACAAATCGTAGGAGGTTGGAAGTGTTGCGCCGAGCGTGGGGAGAGTCGGCCAAGTGAGCTCGTCAAGCAAGGCCTTGCTTCAACTTGCGTGGCTGTGCGAAATGCCGTCCCGACTCTCGTGCATCAGGTGGTACAGCCTGTATTGTCTCTCGTGCCCGTTTCTAAGCGACAGCCCCAGCCCTAGACGCACTGCCTCGTCACTGCAAGATTAGGCGCGAGATGTGCACACACGTGACCTCTCTGGAAAAACACGACCACGACCTCAGACAGACTTCGACCCTTAGCGCCCAACGCATAGACCGAACTGACCGTAGTAAATGGCGTGTATACACATGTAACGAGTGGGGCCATTGCGTTGTTTCCCAGGAGCGTCAACGCACCTTCGTGTAGCGACTCGTTTCGGTGGTGTCGTCTGAAAGTAGACGAGAACGCAAGCAGCGCGATCAATCGATCGATTTGTGGTACAACGCCTTGACGTTGGTGGTCCGCCTCGGCCCATCGATCCGTCAATTCATCGCGCGTCTACAGTGCACAGCCTCATCTGTCTGCACGTGGGACCGCCTCCTGGGGGGACCTCGTTAGTCGACCCTCTCTGGCTTACCCCCACCGGTTCGATGCACCTCCACACGCAAGTCACACATCACCAAGACAAAGTGCAAACCACCTGTCCAGAGCATTTTGATAAGGACAGGTGCGATACTTGGCACCATGCGCGTCTCTTGTACGCAAGTTGTACACATACACGACGGTCGAAGCGGTCTCTAGCTAATGCACGTCTTGATCGGATGGCGTTCGCCACCCGAGTCGCGTCGTAAGGGCTCGAAAAAAGCGTCTTACCCCCTCCTCACCTGCCCACAAACACAAGGCCGTGATCTGGCCAGAGAGTCCCCAGCCGAGAATCTCCTGCAAAAACAAGGCACACACGCCGCCGCAGGACACACGCGGCTGAACGTCGCGTGCCTCTGGACACGTCGTGGTCGCGTCTCTCGTCTACCCACCGGTCGATTGTAGGGGCAACGTGGTCGTACGCGAGCACCCAAAAATGAGCGACCAACTCACCCGACAGATGTTACAGCTCTCTCTCTCTCTCGATTCACTTTGCATCGACGACACGAGCAACAGGACCATGTGCACGTATGCAGCACACTCTACTAAGACAGATAGACGCATCTGTCTGTCTGTCTGTGTGTGTTTTATTTACCTCCTACACATCGCTGAGCCACACACTGTGTCGGCCATGTCGGCGTCCTACTCGACGAGACCGTGTGGTCTTCTCGTCTCTTTTTGCAGCGCTTCTCGAAAACACACAACTCGCGCGCGCGCGCCTTTTCTGCCGGCTCTCTTGTTACGAAATGGCCCGTCGCTTGCTCGCTCGCTCGTCCCACGTGACAGCAGTCATTGCCGTAGCGGCCGCAGTGTGTCCGCACTGGCCGTTCTCTTGGCCGGGCCCACGACGCGGCCTTTCGCCTCGCGCGCCCGTTTCGAGTGATAGGGGCCGTGTGCAACACCTGGCGCGCCTCGCCCCATACAAACCCCAAGTGACGACTCGGCCCCACAACCGCGCGAGCCTCTCCCCCTCTCCGGCTGCGCTGGCGCTCAGTTTCCGACTCGAGCGCGAGCGACTTCACACGTGGAGGAACACACGACAGCCCGCGAGCGCGAGCGAGCAAGTGGTCGGATTGATCCATCGACGGCGCGACCCACAGACTGAGTGAGTAAGTACCCGAGTGCTCGAGTGCGCAGTCCGTCCCGACCCGATCGCCGGTTCCCCCTGTCGCTCCTCTTGTTCTTTGAGTTTTCCGCGACTCGTCCGTCGAGGCGGTGTGTCGTGTCAGTCGTCCACTAAGTGGATCCACTCGTCCCCTCCCCTCCCATGGTCTACGGCTCGCTCTATCGGCCGCGGCCGCCAGCCACCCGCCCGAGCGAAACGGCCCGCAGTGACGCGCCCACGTCGGCCCCGGACCCGCCCCCGCAACCGCTCGAGGCCAGTCGCATCGCCCCCGACGCGTACCTCACGTTCACGGCGCAACAACAGGACGCGCTGGTGCACGACGCGCGGGCCAATGCCGCAGCGCTATTGGTCGACGCCGTCGCCGACGCCGACAAGTGGCAGTTCGTCACCACGCGCGGGCCACTCAATGTGTACGAACTGCGGGCGGACGCGATGCACCGCGTGTCGAGTATGATGCCGGCGGACGCGTCGCGGCTGCCACACAACATGCACACAATGCTCGCGACCACGCGCGTGCGGGCGACGCTGGACGACTTTATGCGGCTCATGGCGTCGGCCCAGCGGGACACGTTCCAGAACGTCCAAGCGGCGCTGTTCCAAGAGCGCGTGCAGATGGCCGACGTGTTTACGAGCTTTGGGAGCCTCCCGAGCGGACGGCGCGGACGCACGTCGTCCACCTCGTCCACCACCAGCAGCTCCAGCGCCGCGCGGTCGCCCCGTCAAGGCACGGAATCCGAGCAGTACGCCATCAAGTACGTGTCGATCAAAGGCCGCAACAACCGCACGCACTCGAGCGCCGCGCTCAGTGCCACGTCGGCGTCCACGTCGCTCAAGTTCGGTGGCAAGAACCGCCATCGCGAGCGCCAGGCGGCTCGGCTGCACCACCATGGCAAGAAACGGGGCCACAAGGGCGTGGCGGACGCCGATAGTGCACAGGAGGAACAGGGACTGACGCTGTGTCTGGCCGAGTACGCGACGATCCGCCACGCGCGGCTCCGGGGCCCCATGGCTCACAATCAAGCGCAGGACTTTGACGATCCACGCGTGGGGATCATCTCGCAGCACTCGATCGAAGACCCAGCGGTCACGCGGTACTGCAAACCCATTCTGACGCCCGGGACCAGCGGCAGCTCGACGAGCACGTCCAAGTTGATGACGTCGTCGTCGTCGTCACAGGCAGCAGCTGCTGACTTTGCGTTGACGGCGCGAGCGTTGATGCAGTTTTCAGGACTGGTGGTGTACCCTGTTGCGTCGTCGGTTGCTGGGGACAATGCACTAGAAGTGCTGATCAAGTTTAGCTGCTACGATGCGAATGGCGTGACGAGCACGCGACGACAGAACATGCTGGCATACTTGACGGCTTTTCAGCAGCTGGATACTGCGCTGCTGGTCATGCGTCTGCGCGAGTCGCCGTACTTGACGTCTGAGAACTGGGTCAAGTCTCGGAAAAGCTGTTGTGTGTGCCAGGGCAAGTTCTCCATGTCACGTCGGAAACACCACTGCCGTCTGTGTGGAGACGTCGCGTGCTCCAAGTGCTCGGAGGTGCACCAGATCAAGCTGGGCAAGGCAGGCAAGTGTCCATTCCGTATCTGCATCAATTGCGTGCACGGAATGGATGACAACCAGCTATTGAGCCGAGGGCGGATGAACAACCAGGTCCAGAACGCAGGTCAGCCGTCCAGGACACCAGTGAACAGCATCAAGGCTTTGCGTCGTCGACTTGGCAGTGGCAACGTACTACGCAACCCCGAGGATGATGATGAGAACAGTCGTAAGCTGTCGACGAGCTCGAATGGTGGCGGCGATGGCTCGGACATGTATGGCTCGCGGAGTCTGCTGTCATCCCACACTATGGCAAGTGAAGACCGGACGTTGTACAGTATGTCGGAAGGCACAACGAGTAGTTTTAGCAGCAGCCAAGGCCTCGGAGGTTTTGGTAAAAGCGGCAGCTCCAAGACACTGAGCATTCGGGGAAGCAGTCTCGGTAGCAGCTTCTACAAACCGAGCAACGCGAGCAACGCTACAACTGTGAGCAGCTCTCGCGGAAGCCGCTTTGATTACGAGAGCGAGAATGACGTCGAAGGGAACGACGTCGAAGGCAAAGACGTTGATAGCGACACGGAGAAAGCGGCGGAGGAGATTCGACGTGCGTCTCGAGAAGTAGAGAAGGAACCTGAAGTTGACTCGAGCATGGATCTGGACTTGATTGAGGCGATCGAAGTTGAATCCGACTGTTCGTCGACGCCGTCGTCCCCCAGCAGTGTCGTAATGCAGAGCGACCAGTTCTACAAGCGGTTCTCTGAGGTGTCGTTGATGGATTTCCACGACTCGGAGTTTGATTTGTCCATCAAGGGCGGGTTTTCCAGCAGTAGGGGCGGGCGTTTCACGAACAAGTCTGCGCTAGAGAGCTTCGACTTTGATGACTCGGAGGCTGACGCTGATTCGGACCGAGGAGATCTGGATGGCATTGGCGAAGAGGAGAACGAAGACGACGAAGACGAGGAAGACGAGGACGAAGAGGACGAGGACGAAGAGGACATTTGCGACTATGACATTCACGAACTGGACGGGCCTGACCTCGATCATGACGACGAGGACGATGGAATGGAATTCCACGACTCGAACGTTGGGATCGACTTCAAGCTGCAGGACCTCAACTTGCACGATTACCACAGCCTCGACGAACTGAAAGAAGGTGACGAAGAGTACGATGAGGAGATTCTGGAAGAGATCCACACTGACATGGTGCTGGGCAGGTCCGGCGTGGGTACATCCGCAGGCGAAGAGCGTGCTGCTCGTCTCGCAGAGTACGGCATCATGGACTCGGGCAAGGAGAATATCTACGACCTGGTCGCCAAGCAGGCGGCCCAGCACGCCAGCTGTTCACTGTCAACGATTAGTTTCGTGGACGCCCGGCGCGAATTCATCAAGTCTAGCTTCGGGCTGGCACAGGAGCTGAGTGAGGTGCCCATTTCGCACTCGCTCACCGCAGAGGTCATGCGGCGCTTTCCTGCTGCCAATGGTCCCGTTGCTCACCGCGGAAGCAGCAGTGATGGAAAAGCTGAGGATGATGCCGAGGTTGTGATCGTGCTGGACGCAAGGCAAGATAACGGTCTGTCTACTAATTTATTCGTTGCCGAGGCGCCCAAGTTGCGCTTCGTCATGGGCGTGCCGTTCCGGGCACGCGATGGCACTGTACTTGGGGCGCTTATCGTAGCAGACGCCCAGCCTCGCACATCCGTGACGCCGCGACAGTGCTCGCTGCTAAAAGACCTTGCCGAGCAGGTGAGCGCATTGCTCGAAGACTTGTGGACCCGCAATCAGGAGCGCACCAAGTTAGCCGGTTCACAGCCTGGTCAGATGCACGACAAGCTCGCGGACTTGTTGTCGCAGTCGTATACCACAGGTTTGCAGATGCAGCAGAACGAGTTGAAGATTCTGGAGCAGTCGTCGTCATCGATGGGCTCGTCCTCCGCGACGCACAAACCGCTGTACGCCAAGGACTTTCATCACATGCAGAGCGTGGAATTATGAGTTGAGTCAGTTTCAAGTACCGATTACAGCAGTCTACGCACCCGCGCCCGAACGCCCACGCGGCCGGAGAAGAAGCGTCTGGTCGATTGCAACCTGTCGTGAGCTTCGGAGCACCGAGGAGAATAGCGAGCGGCAAACGAAGCCGTATCCCGAGACCCGCTATTATTTTATGTAAGCACGAGTGCGCACCTCACCCCCGCTGCAACGAAAGGAATACAGCACCTAATTATTGTGGTAATATTGTGCATGCATCGAGCTTACTGTGTGTGTGTGATAGGAGCACGCGTATGTATGGTGTGTGTGTGTTGTCTGCTGACAACTTGGGATCGACTTCTCTACTCATTCATATACGCAGCACCGATACGTGTCAAAGACTCGTTTTGGTGACGATCCCCGGGACACTTCCTAGGTAATGAATGGTATACGTTCATTCACTTGCCTTGCCGACCTACCAGAGCGGTTATCTTGACGTGGCCTTGGAAGGTCTCAATTGTACAGATAATTAGTAGAATACTGAAGCAATCTGTCGTGTCGCAGCTGGATGGGTGCGAGACAGCGGGTAAGGCAGTGAGAACTTCCCGTAGTGATGATAACGATACATGAGGCAAAATTCCACTCCTACTTACTGCACAAAAAACCCATCGACCAGTGCGAGTTGTGCTCGTTGTGCTCTGGCCGTCCATCGTATCGGTAGCACTTACGATTACAGCAGAGATAGATCATCAACAGACTTTGCACGAGAGTGTGTAACGTGCTCACAGGATCGAGCACTGAATGACGATACGACGTGTCGTGCATAATGACTCTCGATACAGAGTGCTCTCTGGACGACTGTCGTGCGTTGTGGCGACGAAAGAGTCAGCTCTATGCTGTTTGCTGCAAGATAAGGCACAGCTGGCTGGATGACACTGTCATGTGATTGGTCAATACGGCACGACTGAAGCCGGTCCGGATTATTTCGTGTCAGCGTGCGGCTTTTTGCGCCCGCGTTCAACGATGTCCAAATCTGGCTCTTCTTAATCGAAAAGTGACTAAAAGAAGACCAAAACCAGCGACAGGATTGGTAAACCAGCAGAAAGCGCCGATCGAAAAAAGTGCAAAACCAGGGACGCTGGCGATTCGGAATGCAAAAAAGCAAAAAAACAACTTGCTGCTTTTTTCGACATGATGCGCACGATCGTGCTCGTTTGGCTCTGTACCCAGATGACTGAAGCAACTGCGCGTCGAGCAAACAACTACATGCGGTAATGTGTAGCACCTGCCGAGCTGCTCATGGTGCGAGACTGCAGTAGACCCGCAAGGCTGTGCAAAGCCACACTTGACGCTTGTTAATATAGGTCGTCTTTGATTTAGAAGTCGACGTTATGCTAGTCTGACGCGTCTCAGATCGCTACAGCTGGGACAAAGGCTCTATCAATGCACAATGTAAACAGACACAAAAAACAGCTTGTGCAGCGAGTCCCTTCGCACTGTGCCCATGAGAGGCGTCGTGCTCGTCGTTCTTTGCTTCTCCCTTCTGGTCACCTGTCGCCATCCCCTTTTCCCGCTTCAATGTCCCTCTCACATCCGCCGCTTCACCACCTGCAACAACAAAAAAGGAGCCAAGCAAGCACCCACCCACCCGTTCGCACGGCCGTCACTGACTTTGTTTTTGTATGACCAGTCAGGTCCTCGGCATTGTTGCTGCAGTGCTCTATGGAAGCGAATCACGACCTCTGGCTCCGCGATGGAGTAAACATGTGGCGCGTGCAAGGAACTAATGGACACTATGCGCGCAGACAGTGGTCCAATCTGTGGATAATTCGTCGCACAAAGTCGGGCGCGACGCCCGTCTGGCTGGCTGCCCGTCTGTCCTGTATCGATTCGGAGGAGAGGACGGCGGTAGCAACTGGACCGTCAATACCCGTCACGTAGTCCTCGGCCATGACCGCAATCAACAACAACAACAACAACAAGAAGAAAAGAAAAAATCCACTGCCTGCGCGGGTGTTGATAGTCCATCATCCGAAGCGCCTCGCGCGACGTCAGTCCCGCGCGCAGCAGCAACGAGCGGACAGTCAGTCGTTACGACGTCCCTGTTCGTCGACGTCGTAACGCGTCTTCTTTCTTGCTAACTTGCGTTTGCTTTTCTTTCTTCTTCTCTCTTCTCGAAGATTTCGCATAAACGTTCGCCTGGTCAATGAAACACACACACACACACACACATGAGGGATCGCTCCCGACTTGTTTGCATCCGGCAAAGCTGTCTGTCGACATACATGGCTTTCTTTCTTTCTCTTGACATGACGTGACTCGTCGTGCATGCCGAGCGAGCAGACGAGCACGAAAGAGCAAGAACAGCGATCGTTGCCCGAACCAGAGAGCGGCTATCGCGGTGACTGACTGACTGACTGACTGACTTTCCCGCCGGATCAGCTCTTCGGCTGTTGCCCCTCGTTGTTCAAGTGCCTTTCGACCTCGCGCCACGGCAGTGGGTCTCCATTGCTCTTCGAGCCCCATTAACGCCCACACACATACACGTACAGGGAAACACTGACTTAGCTACTCTAGTGTTTCCAATTCATTACATGGGTTCGTGCCCGCGTCAATCCAGTTGGCAAATGACGGCACAGACGTGCAGCGCACGCGACTGTTGGGCCACTGTGGTTTTCGCAGAACCCCCCCCCCCCGTGTCAAGAAGGACCACATACCTCTGTGGGTGCGTGGGCCTGCACCGAGTAGAGTGGCGCGTGTGCTTCGCTTCGAGTCTCGCTCTCCATCGCGACAAAAAAGGAGGAAAAACACGACGACGAGAGGTGCAGTCGCGCGCTTGTAACCCGTCCGTCCGTTTGTTTGGTTGGTTGTTCGTCCACTGCCAGTGCGCTCGTGTCATTGTTCGGTCGGTCGGTCGGTCGGTCGATCTTCCCTTCCCATCGTCCGGTCACTCATTCACTCATTCCTTCACTCGTCCAGTTCGTCCGTCCGTCCGTCGTCGCTCACCCGAAACCGATCGAGCACTCGAGCGATTGTCTCTGCTCTGCTCTGCGCCCGCGCACTCGACGGGGCAAATCCCATTGGGGTTTTTCGACCGCCTCACTCGCCTATCGCCGATCATGGACCGCCTCCGCAACAGCGTCCGCAGCAGCAGCAGCCGCAGCAGCCTCAGCGTCAGTAGCGTCAGTAGCAGTAGCAGTGGGCAGACGACGTCGGGCGACTCGGATTCCATCACTTCCGCCCTCCCCATTCTCGGCGACGACACGAACGTGTCCCCCGTGACCCCCGACGGCCACCCCACTATGCGTGCGAGCGCCCACGAACGCTTTAGCTTTGCCAAGAAACCCCCCACCACCACCACCGACCCCACCACCAACTCGACCACTACCAACAACAACAACAGTAGCAGTAGTGGTAGCAGTAAGCGCAGGTTAGCGCGTCCGACGTCGTCGCCCTCGCAGTTCTCGTCCATGTCGTCGTCGTCGTCGTCGTCGTCGTCGATGCTGTCGAGTTCGACGACGTCGTCGTCGCTCACGGACCGCCTCACGATGATGAACATTCCCGTGCAGGACCTGCGCGGCGCCGTGTTCTACGGGTGGCTCTGGAAACGCGGCCACACGTTCAAGACGTGGAAAAAGCGCTTCTTCCTCCTCAACGGCGCGGCGCTCACGTACTACACGCAGTGCTGTGTCATCACGTGGGACACGACCAACAACAGCAACAACAGCAACAACACTAACAACCACAACAACCACAAGAACAACAACATCCAGTGCCTCGATTTGCCCGTGCGCGGCGGCCTCCGCGTCGCAGCGGTCGACGCCTCGGACCTCACGAGCTTTGGCCTCAAAGTCACGAGCTCGAGCGGCCGCGTGCTCTACGTCCAAGCAGGTGACCAGGACGCGCGATCGCAGTGGCTCAAGGTGCTAAGCCACGCGCCCCAGCGCCGCGCCGCGCACTTGGGACAAGAGCCGCTACGGCAGACAATGGCGAGCGACCTGTCGTCGCGGCGGTCGTTCCAATTGGGACTCGACGACCAGTCGCCGTCGATGGACACAGTGCTGAGCGGCGCGAGCAGCGACGACGACACCACCAGTGGCGGGGCCGACGCCGGCGAGATGCAGGGCTACTTGACCGTGCGCGGCGGCTTGCTCTCGGGCTGGAAGAAGCGCTACGTCGTGCTCCAGAACGGCCACCTCGGGCTCCGCCGGCGCCGCGTGGGGGGCCCGGAACCCGTGACAAAGCAGCTCGAGGTCTTGTCGGCGGCTGCCTGGCCGGGCCACGCGCATGGCCTCCGCATTCGCCTCGCGCACCACAAGGAGCTGTTTGTGTTTGCTGCACACGACGCCGACGCAGCGCTGTGGCTCGCGGCGCTCAAGAGCTGCTAGCGCGCGTGGGGCGATGGAGTTTGCCCGTCTCCTTGTTTGTGTGTGTGTGCGTACGACGGACGACGACGGCGCACGGACGGACGGACGGATAGAGTTGTGTGGGTGCACAGCGTATGGCTACACGTGCGTCTCGCTCGCTGCGAATGAAGACAGCGAGGGACTATGGCGAGCGAGCGCGAGAGCGCTATTACGTTCGACAGAAGAAGTCACGCAACGAGGAGCTACTTACTACTGCTCAGGACGGGACGACGTTGTGGGCAGCGGATCGATCGGTCGGTCGGTCGGTGCTCTCCCATATCGCTAAATTATTAGAGACTGTTTTTGCGATCGTCGTTGGGTGACCTGAGATGATGTGCCGTCATGTGCGACGGCGGGTACGGCGCGTGTACAAGCGGCGGCGGGCACGCGGGACATGGATACATACACATACCCACCTGTTGTCCAGCTTCGTCGATCATCTATCTACATAAATGTATGGGAACAGCGCTTGCACCCGTGGCTGCAGGAGCATCTAAATCATAACACACTGCACACTTTTAGCTCATCTTGATATGTACCATTTTTTGTTCTTGACAACACGACACGCAGACGTTCTAAATAATACCAAACAACAGCTGCAAGTACCGGTCGAGAAAACAGGGTCAGACGGTTTTTGAGTCGGTTTTCGAGGCCGCGCATCCGTTACTTCACACTCGAGTGTGTAGAACACGCGACCGGTATCGCTTTCGTCCCGCGCACACACATAGACACAGACGCACATGTCGCGGTCGGCGCTGACTCGACACGCGCTGCAAAAGTCTCTGCGGGGACAGAGCGAGCTGGATCAGTTGCCGGAAGAGACACCGCGTCGTGTCAAGCAGGACGAGCTGCCCATGTACGTGCGAACGACGCGGCTGCAGTCGATGTATCGGCTGCGACATGGTCGAGTACACGGTTGTTGACGGTTGTTGAACGGTTTTTTGACGGTTGTTGAACGGTTGCTGACGGTTTTTTTACGGTTGTCGACGGTTTTGTTATTGCAGCAACGGTAACGACACGACGTACAACCTCAACACGCTGTTGCATCAGAATATCCTCCAATCGGCGTATTTCCATGACCTTTACAAGCTGAAAACGTACCATGAAGTCGTCGACGAGATCTACTACCGCGTGGACCATGCCGGTACGATACCGATAATTGAGTCGGTTGTAAAAGGCGAATGGTCGAGTAACCGGTATGTTTGTGTGGGTGCATGTTGCGCGAACGTAGAGCCCTGGTCGCCCGGCACAGCTCGCATCCCGTCCAGCTGTTTCTGTCTCCTGCACAAGTTCTTCCTCATGCGACTTACGGTCAAGCAAATGCAGGGTCTGCTGCGACATACGGTGAGGAACAAGAGAGAACAAGACAGGACCTGACATGGTGTTTGTTGATGGTCAAAAGTGTTTGTGACAAAAACTGGCACCTGACGAAACGGATGCCGATGGCAGGATTCTCCATACATTCGCGTGATTGGGTTCCTGTACCTGCGCTTCACGTGCGATCCGGAAGAGCTCTGGACGTGGTATGAGCCGTACTTGGAAGACGTGGAGGAATTCAATGCATCGGCCAATCCGAGCTTGAAAACGTGAGTCGCGTGTCTTTGTCATGTTTGTCGTCGGGTGGTAAGAAAAAAAGCTTCGGCTGCTGCTGCTGCTATTGTGACGTTGATTCCTACCACTGCAGCAGGCAGTCGTCAAAAGTGGTGGACTGATTGTGGTGGTGTTTGTTTGTCGTTGCGTTTGTTGGTACTGCAGAACTATAGGCGAGTGGCTTGTGAGTCTGCTGGAAGAAAACAACTACTACGGCACGATTCTACCGCGCATCCCCAAGAGAATCGAGGACGGGATCAAAGTCAAGGTGAGTCTGCTGACGTGCACGTGAACGAGAGAGCGATGGAGCGCAGTAGAGATTGGGCGAGAGACGTAGTGTCTCGTTGTTCGGAGGGGGGTTCGTGTTGCAATTTTATCGTAAACAATGATGGCACTGACGTGTTACGAGTGCACTGACGAGACTTCTATGGATGTTTGTCGTATGCAGCTGTTGTTGCTGTCACGTAAGAAAGAGCGAGCGAAGGAGAACCTGGCGATCATCAACCGACTTACACCTGGCACGAAAGTTCGCGCGATGTACGCCGACGAAGAGAACGAACCTGCAGTGAGCTATGTTTTGCGATGACAGCGTGGTGTAGTCTGTGTGCGGATACCCTGACGATGTTTACTGCATGTGCAAGATGTACGACGCGGTCATTGACTCGGTGGAAGAAGGCAATCAATACTGGGTACGATCGGCCGCTTGTACGGTATTCGTGACTGCGTAGTGCACAAATTCTGGTGTGACCAACTCGTTTTCGCTGGTGGTGTCTCTAGGTATCGTTTCCAGCATATGGAAATACGGAAAAAGTCGATCTTGGTGACATTGAGTTCGACCAGGGGACACAGCGCCGTGCACGCTCACACTCTCGTTCCAGATCTGCCGAACGTTCTCGCTCGCGAGGGCGTGACAGAAGCCGTGGTCGGGATCGTGGTCAAGGCCGAAGTCGAGATCGTGGCAACCGACGAGGCACCGATCGACGCCGCGGCAGTCGTCGATCCCGCAGTAGGTCGCGATCCGCTTCGAGGGATCACCGCCGCCGCCATCGCAGTCGAAGCCACAGTCACAGCCGCATGAGCCACAAGACAGGGTACATTTCGCGCGGTCCCTTTTTCGTTGCGGTCTCTCTTTGGTGCATATCGTGTTTGTTACTGACCCAATAGCTGTCTGGTTTTGCCTGGCACAGCGGTCGTGATATAACGGGAGATTTGCTACAGCAAGTTCGCGAGCGAGAGCGGCGCAAGGCGGAAGCTGTTGGACGCGACTACGCATCTCGACCAGCGAGTTACAAGGGCTCACTGTCGCTAAAGCTGGATCGATGGACGACGCGGAAGCGGTCGCGCAGTCCCGCTAAACGCGCGGAAGTAGTTGTGGTTCAGCCAGGGATGTCCAAAGGCGATCCGCTCAGCAAGTCGCCGCCGTCTGCTGAAAAGACTCACGAGACGGAAGAGCGTCTGAAGAAGCTGCGTGCAATGTACGGCGATGCGTCCTCGAAGACGAAAGAAGAGTAGACGGATGAAGGAAAAATGACGCGCGGGGATCAGAGTGCGGCATCTCTTTGTGTTCAGCTATGACAGAGCAGACAAGAGGACTAAATGTCTTGTGGCGGTTGAAAAGCGGATGGACGAGTAAAACGAGGCTTGGCCGCTGTGCTGGTACGGTGTTGTTGGATGGCAGTTGCGGAGACTGCGGGCAACGTGAGCTTATGTTGCTGATAGCACTCGGCCATGAGGACGATGGCAGGTGGTAGACAAAATAGGAAGTTGGACGACGTGTTGGGCGTGGATTTCTAAACATGACTGACCCTCCTCGCGCGCACGACGTTCTGATTGTTGCGTTTCTAACGAAGGCGCAGAGGACAAAACGCGTGCCGAAGCGAGTGCACAGAAGTAGATCATGCACAGAAAAGATAGACAGACAGTGCACAGATTTAGCGCTTGCCCAGATATAGAATCCTGCCTGCGCCGAGATACCTAGATTTGATCCATCTGGTGATCGATACCGCTGCGCAACAGACCGTACATTGAGACTGTGACAGGCTAAATGCTACCGAAAGGGAACCGGATGGTCGACACAACTCCGTCCAAAGCTTATTGTCGTTGCTGCTGCCGCTGCTTACAATCACTTGTCAACAATAGTCGGAATCAGACAACAGACTGCAAGTCATCGGAGCTATACTTCAGCACACCCCAACTTCCGACACCTTACAGCTCGTTTCGGTCGAACGAGATCAACCAAATCGATTGCACCGATACACTTCTGTACCTCTTCGCTAACCAATTGTTTTCCGTCTGCAATCAAGTGACTGCTACTTCCGTCACCACACCACCATTAAACGTCCCTCCCCTCTGATCTCCACCCAAAAACTGCAGCGTACTCGCTCAAGCAGCTTTACATCTTGGACGGGTTCCGAAAGTGGTGGCCAGCGTACTTGGCCTCGCTGCCGAGAGCTTCTTCAATTCGCAGCAACTGGTTGTACTTGGCCAGCCGTTCCGAGCGGCACGGGGCCCCCGTCTTGATCTGCCCCGTCGCTAGTCCGACTGCCAAGTCGGCAATGTACGAGTCTTCCGTCTCGCCGCTGCGGTGCGACGTCATGACGCCCCATCCATTCTTCTGGGCAAGGGCTACAGCATCCACACTCTCCGTCACGCTGCCAATCTGGTTCACCTTGAGCAGTAGCGCGTTGCACGCTTTCTTGTCCAGCGCCGTGGCAATGCGCTTTGGGTTCGTGCACAACAGGTCGTCGCCTACGACCTGCACGTCGTTGCCAATTGCATTGGTAAACGCCGAGTAGTGGGCCCAGTCGTCCTGGTCAAACGGGTCTTCGATGCTCACGATCGGGAACTCGCTTGCCAGGTCCTTGTACAGCTGCCCCAGCTCTTCCCCCGTGAGCAGCTCCGTCGAGTTGTCCGACTTAAAGTCGAGGTCGTACCGTCCGTCTTTCGTCAGGAACTCGGACGACGCCACGTCCATGCCAATCCCAATCTTGCCGTCGTACCCCGCACGGTTGATCGCCGTCATCAAGAGCTCAACGCCTTCGCGATTGCTCTGGATGTTCGGCGCAAAGCCCCCTTCGTCCCCGACATTGGTCGCGTCTTGGCCGTACTTTTGCTTGATCACAGTCTTCAAGTGGTGGTACACTTCACAGCCCATGGCCATTGCTTCCGAGAAGCTCTCGGCCCCTGTCGGCAGCAACATGAACTCCTGGAACGCGAGTTTGTTCCCGGCGTGCGACCCGCCGTTAATGACGTTGAAGCTCGGCACGGGCAGCACCAAGTTCGCGTTGCCAATCAGGTCGGCAAAGTGCTGGTACAGCGGCACCTGGTTGACCGCTGCGCCTGCTTTTGCCACGGCGAGCGAGACGCCCAGCATGGCATTGGCCCCGAGTTTGCTCTTGTTCTCGGTCCCGTCCACGTGCCGCATGCGGTCGTCCAACTCCCGCTGCTGCGTCGGGTCCGACCCCTGCAGAGCCGGCGCCAGCACGTGCTTGACATTGTGCACTGCTTGTTGCACGCCTTTGCCGGCGTACCGTTTGCCGCCGTCCCGGAGTTCGACCGCTTCGTGGATGCCCGTGGAGGCGCCAGAGGGCACGGACGCCCGGAAGACCTCGGGCCGATCCGAGAGCGTCAAGTCGACTTCGACCGTGGGGTTGCCGCGACTGTCAATGATCTCCCGCGCGTGGATGGACTGGATCGTCGTGCTGCTGTGGCGAGTGGCGCCACGCGCGAGCGAGAGCGCGCGAGGGAGCGAGAGGAGGGGACGCGAGAGCATAGTGAAGAGCGAGAGAGAGAGAGAGTGAGGAGAGGGAGGAGAGGGAGGAGTGCGTGAAGCGTGTGGTGCTATAGTAACAGAGGGAATAGCTCTGACTGACTGACTGGCTGAGCAGCTACTGGCTACTGACACGCAATGAGGACGGCGAGGAGCTACGTTAGCCAAGTATCTGATTCTTAGTCATCGATCGAGCCATCACGTGGGCCACGTCGGCCTCTCTCTCTGTCTGTCTCTATATGTATGGTAATGTAGTTCGAGAGGTGCTTTCGAGACAACTTGGCGGTGAAACGCGGTCGAGTCGCTTTTTGCAGCCGGCACGGATTGAATTGTAGAGGTCAATGCTGTGGTGGTCGAGTGGGTGAATGGGTCTTTTGTTGTGTGTGGGTTTGCCCAGGTCTTTCGATGGGTGCTTTGATCGCCTGCTGATGGCCGGAGGACGTTTTTTGTAGAACCTGATGCGGCACTGTGGTGGCCACGTGGCGACTGGGTCGTGGAGTTTGGGTGACGGTCGCTCGAAGGTCGCTGCAGTCTCGAACGGGCATCGCTCGCTCGCCATGAAGAGGGCACAACTCGCCACGAATGGTCCAATGACGTGCGACGTCGACAATCGCTGATGACTGAATCAGGACAGCTCAGTGTGCCATGTCAGCCAGTTCGCTCTGGATCCACAATGGAATGTGAGACTGAACTGGTCGTCGTACTCTGTAGATCGGATGCATTGCTGCAAAGGTAGTCCGTCATCTCCATATACGCTGTGGCCCAGACGATCAGCACTGCTGTTGGCTACTTCAGTCAGGCGATCTCACGGAACATCGTGTCGAGTGTATCTTTTCTTGTTAGGTCATCTGCTTTCTGCTTCTGTTTCCATTGCATGGATTGCCACGCATATCGCCCTTTTGTATGTTCCGTTGCTGCTGGCCAAGATACGAATGACAATTTCTGGACACTACCAAGTGATCGTCCATCAGAGAATAGGGAGTAGCTACCGACGTGTTCACGGACAATCTGCTGAGATCATGTTCGCTGGGTTTGAGTACGTGTTGTACGATCGCCGCTACCATCTACATGGACCCACTGCGCGACGTGTACGCATGTTTTACCTCACGACACCGTCCGCACCCGTGTCGTCGTCCGAAAAAGGCTGTCAACCGAAGCAAATATCTTGAGTACATTCTGGATAGGTTGTACATCCTTCGAAAGCTCAGTAAATTGTGCTCGCATCCGCTTCGCTGCAGGACAAATGCAACAAATACGACAGATCGAACCTCAGTTATTCCCCCGGGTCCAGAATGCTCCTCTTTACCATACATCGAAATTAGGCAAAGGAAGCTCTTGGGGTTTAGGATAGTTCACAAGAGCCTGAGATCTGCGGTTAAGTTACATACGTCATGATGGTGCGCCTTGGTCATGTATAATGTAGACTTTGCCTTTATAGATGGAAGATCACACTAGGGAGGGAAGTTAACGCACAAGAGTATGGCAGAAGCCAACGAAGCAATGGGATTTAGCATGTATGCGCAGCTGTCGAAGTCGCAGTTCTTGGTGTGAATTGATCTTTGCCAGATCTGATCCAGGACCCCGCGATCGCATCTCTCTGGCTGGTAGTTTACTCCAAAAGCGAATCTAGCACCGCAAAGGGTGTAACGCAAGCCGCCACCTGAGAGATCCGTAACAAATGCTGAGGGGATGCATGCAATATCCAGCGCGTGTCCAATCGACGAAGCCCGGCATTTCATGCTCTCACGTCAGTGACTGTAGCATTGTTTGGAGTGACCGATGCGTCCAGGACGCGCAACTACCGGTACCCAAAGTGTCGTCGAGTCTACATCGTCATCGCTTTGCGCTTCGTAAAACGCTGTCTGCGATGCCTCATATTGCGTGACAAATATACATGAGGTAACGCATACAAGTCCCGTGCCGCCACACCCCTCATGATATCTCTACGGACCGTCAAAGCGGATTTGCAGACGCGAACTAAACCATCACCGTCTTTGCATCGAGCCTAATGAGATCCGTGGCGACGTCTGAAAAAGTGAGACCGCCCTGTCTACTAGGCATTTCTGCTTAACCCTTCCGGAATACAAGGGCAATCCGCGTGCCGTCGCGCATGCCTCAGACGAAATCTTCACAAAGTATGTGAAGCTGTCGATTGTGTAACTTCGTTGGCTATCAACTTTGGTTGCGTGTAAAGTTTACGGTACCACAGGGGCGCAAACGAGGACACTTCTCTGCTCTTCGTATCACGCTTCAGGTGCGCCAGTGCAAGCTGTGGTCGTACCGTTTATATACATTTCTCCCGCTTTTTGTTTGTTGCATCGGCTGGACCAACCGGTATGTCAGGACGGCAACAATGTTCAGTCGGTCGCAGTAGAACAAGGCTGAGTGCTTGTCACATGCTTGTATGTCGCCGAGCACGACGTCGATAGAAGACTGAGTCATTTGTTCTTAAGCTTCATTTTAGTTTTGTACACTTCGAGTTCTTCCAGCACCCAAATTGTTTCTTTGCAATGACATAGCAACACGGCCGTCTATGTCATTGCCGGGTACTACATCCATTGATGGTTTCGCCTCCACGTACAGCCCATTGCTGAAAGAAGATCACCTCGCGCATGCGTGGAACCTTACAAGCGCTGTAAAGGGCGAGTACAAACAGCACATGCGCTGTTGCTTAGTAAGCGCTATCGAGGGCGAGAACCAACAGTGTATGCGCCATTGGGTTGATAACGCCAGTCTGCATTGGCACATGCAGAGAGAGAATGCGTTGACAAGGACCCTGCAGTGTCTTTATTTGTGGCATATCGAAACTTGATGCTTGTGATGGAGCACCACGCTGATACTGCCTACAGATAAGCTGCCTTACCCTGACAACATTGTAGGCAGTTGTATCGAAACTCCGCGCAAACACACGGGCAGAGAAAGTTTGATCGGCAAAGATTTACGTTTTTGTAAGGCAAAAGAGAGCTACAACCCATTTCGTTACATTTACTAATCATTGTGTTTGAATCTCTCTTCATTTCGTGATACGTCATTTCGAGCACAAATGGTAACGGTCCGCTCACCATTTATGCCGCACGTCTATCATTGTTTGGACGCTTTGTGGCTATCATTGATAAGGCCGATACCAGCCGATTGGCAGAAGTCACCGAATACTGCCGCGTACAGTGATATTTCAGAATGTCAACTGCTGCGGTAACAATTATAAAGACACCTATGGATGTCAGTCTCATGTTACAAGATCATCCCGTCAGCACGATGTCGTCAATGTAAATGCCGTCCAACCGAGCGTTTATCGATAAATGCATTCTTACATATACAAAGTATACAACGTCTCGCAAGATGTCCGCGGTATCATTGTAGCGTAGTTGACCACCTTTTTAGTTCTTGACGCTATCTGTGACGCCTCGAGATGTTTGTTGCCGCCGCAATGTTGCCTCTCACCAGATAACGAACTTGAGCAAACAATTGGATGTGTCGACTTCAAACTCTGCTGCTAGGCTGTGGTGCTGCCGATGTCAGATGCTGCTGAGTAGAGCTGTTTACGACCGATCAGGCGATGAAGTGGTAGCTTTGACGAAGGCAAAAGGTGATTCGAGACAAAAATGACGTACCGCTTGTAGCTTTGGCAGTGTATACGCAATCATTTCATCACCGCTTATTGCAGAATGTGTTACCAGTCCCGCCCTGACCCGCATTCTCCCCAAAATGTAATCGTACAGACGCTACGATATCGATGATAAGCAGATCACCGCTTCATCGTCATTTGTTATAGGGCGCGTGAAGGCTCGCTAGCATAATTTCGGATATTGGGTGGGTAAACTGTGCGCAGTTGTGTCCAATCACTCCATTCGTCAGAGTCCATGCCATCGAACGTCTCAATCAATGCGTTGCCATCGGCCATCTCAATCAAGTTAGAATGATATTTTGCGGTACTTCGTACTTTAATTGAAGTCCTGACACTTGTCCTGACCCTTATTCTTGGAACCCCGCTCAAACAACTACTGGACGATCGCTTTCGGAAAAACAAGCGTTTCATTGTGCTTCCACAAACGGGTTTCGACGCCGAGTCTTTCGTCGCTTAGTAAGTCGTCAAAATATTTTTATTCATCTTGTGAGACACGAAAAATGTCGGGGCAACCAATACGGATAGCATTGGTCATGCGAAGACACTACCATACATATTGTACCCACTGGGTCTTACACGCGTAAGCTGAGGAGCACACGACTTGAGCAAGAGAGAAAAGGAGTTGCATTTCGGTACGCGAGCGGCCCGATGTAATCAGTCTGCCGTGAAATAAATGACGTCTAGACATATTGTCGTCAGTGTAGAGAGAGTATTCCTTGCAAAGGACGTATGCATAGATGTCTGCACGGCACCGCACGTATCCTCTGCAAGTAATAATGTCATGCAGACATCTACGCAAATCCTTTGTCAATGATGCTCACTCCATATTGACCGTGATGGGCCGTATGCTTTTACCTCAGATTTCCAAATAACTTTTTCTGCAGCTTACAGGTATGGTTGAGACCAAGGATCAGGTAGATGCTCGCATGGATGAGTTGTAAACTGCGTAGCAGCGCGCAGACATTCCGGGAAAAAACAAGCGCAACGACAAACGCACGTCTACGCTCGCCCGAGATAATTGCGATAGAGCTCTCGTTTGACCAGCGACAGGACGGCCGGTTGTATATGTGTGGCGAGCATAATTGCTTTAGGACCATAAGATAATCTCAATCAAACAAAAGTATGATTTGAAGACCATAAGAAAGCACTATCAGCCAGCGCGCATGTTTCCAGTCGGCACGATATACGCTGTACCCGGCATACGCGCTACTGTAGCCTCCTAGACTTATTTTTCGAGTAGGTTGTGTGGGATGATCTCAATCGGGAAGTAAAAAGTGGTGTCGTTGTACGGGATACACACCCCTCAACGTCAATCGGTCGCTTCCTTTTACGTCGGGCCGGTGAATCAGAATTGCAAAGGCATCGAGGCAAAGTATCGACAGGTGAGATGCAGATGCTGGTGTTCGCTTACAATAGTGATACGTAAAGTGTCCACAAAGTCGCACGAAGTGGCAGCAAAAGAATGATCATCGAAAAGCATCAGCCCATCAAACGCGACATCATTCCCGAACATCATTTCCCGTTTCATGGAAATCTCGCACTTGTGGTAAGAGCGCACGTCCCAGGTTTGCAACGACAGAAAGAGAAGAAGGCTGTTTTTCTCATTGATCAGTCGACGAGCAGCTTCGTGTTGCACGCATCAATGTCGAGAACGATGCAAGTCTTGTGGAGCATTATGATCTTGCTCTTGGTGCATGATTGCTGGGCGATCCAACCGAGCCGTTGGAACGAAAACCAACTGAAAACAGAATCTGGTCTGAAGATTTGGGTCGATCCCGAAACACCACAAGAAATGCATACTTGGGGGACGTCTCGTGGCGATACATGGGAGCTAGTGATGAGCGACGAGTTCAACACTCCTGGAAGATCATTTCGACCCGGAGATGACCACATGTGGACGTCGATCGAGAAGCCCGACGGCGTCAATGCAGCAATGGAATTTTACGCTCACAATAAGACTACTACGGCATGTGATGAATCAACTGACGTCTGCAGCTTCCAGATCGAGCTGGAAGAGAGCGTCGTCCAGCTTCAGGTGTGGAACAGCTTCCTGAGCACACCAGGCTTCGAGAATGTTACCTTCGTACGTACTTTTCATATTTTGCATATGACGCCCTAGTCGGACATCAGAGTTGGTGACTTTCTGTTGCGGGTGTTGTGCTTAGTTCTATCGCGGCGGTATGGTCCAGTCTTGGAACAAGTTTTGCATGCAAGGCGGGCTAATTGACATCCGAGCACAACTCCCTGGAGCCTTGTCCGAGTCTTCTGGCAACCCTGACATCAGCTTAGGCTCAAGTGGTCGAGCGCAGTCACTGCGGTACTACCCCACCTGGCCTGGAATATGGATGATGGGAAACCTTGGCCGTGCGATCTTCAGCGGCTCGACGAACAAAATGTGGCCATTTTCTTACGACGCGTGCGACCCCGACGCGTTTGATCCCAAAAATCAGCGCATAAGTGCATGTGATGCTGACCCCGGGTCTGGCATGAATCACTACCAAGGCCGCGGTGCGCCTGAGATCGACATTCTCGAAGGCGGTGGCACGAGCGTATCGATTTCGATCCAAGTGGGACCGGGCATGCCGCCGGACTTTCGCGTTGTCAAACCAGTCGGTGAAAATGAGCTGTGCATTTATTCTAGTTCTTGCCAGACGCCAGGAGCAAACGTCCCGGGTATCCCAGAAAGTGTGTATGTCGAGTCGCGTGGCCACGAATCATGGTACCAAAACCTGCGCTATGCTGCGAACAACTTTTGCGTGCAAAACGCAAGTGAACAGCAATCGTTCTCCACGGTGGATGCCTCTCTCGAAGCTGGAATTGAAGACAATACATGCTCGGTCACGACATGCCCCGCATCTTATGACATACACTCAGATTTGGGCTTCATGAACTCGATCACGAACGATCGCTGGGGGATCAACTTGAACGGCACGTGTTTTTCAGCCATCAATTCATACATGGGCGAGTTCATCTGTAGCGCTGGCAACCCAGATCCAAGATGCAAGCCACTAGAGGGTGCACAGGTGGCACAGGAGGACGAATCGTCTTTTGCTTTTCAGCTTGACGCGCTCTCGGCAAATTGGCCCGTGCACATGGCCGTGTACACCGAATTTGTGGAGTATCAAGTAGAGTGGGTTCCAGGCCCAAACGGTCATGTCCGATGGATGCTGGCGGGAGAGCCCCTGTATGAGATTCCATCCCGATCCGTTACGCATCCTCCGCAAGGAGCGAGCGTGAAGAACCCCATCAAGGTCATGGTTGAGGAGCCTTTGTACCTCATATTTAACGTGGCGATGTCGAGCAAGTGGGGCGCGCAGCCACCGAATCCAAAGCATCCGTGCCGTGGTGATGGTATGGACCCGGTTGCCAATAAAATCTGTGACGCATTCCCGATGTACCTGAAGATCGACTACGTTCGTGTGTATCAAGATTTGTCACCCAACTCAGCGATGAGCTTGGGATGTAATCCGAAGACACACCCGACGCATCAGTGGATCCTTGATCACCTGGATGAATACGAAGATGAAGAAAATAGGCTTGTCGAAGTTCATGGCAAAGCCTTTTGTCGAAGTGATCTGGACTGCACCATCCAAACGGCACGCCGTCGCTCGACCAGCAAGAAAGTTCCTGGCATATTGACTGGCAGATGCGTGAATCAGCGTTGCGCTTGCGTGAGTGGGACGTGGACCGGACCACGTTGTATCATTCCCAGCAACCCCAGCGCTGTCTCCTTTGGCCCTCCTATGGTGTTATCCGCATGCGTTGGCTCTGTTTTGTTCGTGCTGGGATTTGTCTCTTGCATCGCTCTTTGCTTTCCACGGGGGAAAGAAGACGAAGCTGTCGATGGTGAGCACAAGGTGAAGAAGCAGCAGCAGCAACGACCACAGTACGGGCTGCTTCGACGTCAATCAAGTCGATATCCTCATAGCTCGTGGCTGTCTGAGTAAGCAGCGCACGATGTACCAAAACGAAAAGGTATGTCAATACCGTCAAGGCACTTTGGCAGCGCGTATCGCCATGAACTGCACATCGTTGTTTGTTGCTTATTGTGTGTTGATCTACGAGTCTCATGCTACCACCAAGTGCTGCTTTGACGATGGTGAAGGCCATTGTTGGTCCTCAAGACGCTGGCTCATCTAGGAACAGTCTAGCTTGTGCGTCGAAACAGATCAGGTCTGCGCTTACACTGCCATTTTTGACGTTGTACACATCTCTGGTATGGAAGGTCTAAGAGTTAACAGCAGTTCATCGAGCATCCGTACATGAGGAAGCACGAAGGCGGCTCGATGATAACAGCAAAAACCAGTGACAAGTACAAATCAAAGTCCTACAATATACAGCACCTAGTGCAACGTAAACGGTAAGCTCGTACTCGAATGGTATTCAGCGGTGTTTCGATACGTACAGCATCAGAAATGCAACTAGATGCATGCAGCATGTTAGTGCTGTCATCTATCGACCAGACGTACATATAAGCCCATCCAACAGCACATCAACGAGTATAATATGATTGCATACATTATCGTTCTCCACGCGAAGTCATCGATGAGGGTGGACCTCACACGTATACATTTGTGTCCGTGTTTCCATGACCAGCGCGTTGACCCATTGCCAAGCCATTTGTGACGACTGGATATTATATATGGACAAGGCCGATTGGTCCATATACACTACGGTTGCTTCAGTGCCTTCACATACAGGACGCGTGCGCGTGTAGTGGATATGTCACTCGCTCGAGCGCTAGAAGAGATAGTGATACTTTTGCTAGCGACAGGTGCGTTTCAAGTTGTCGTCAAGATAGAAAAATTTGCATACCTATATGCGACAACAACATTCATTTGTCTGATAGAGTAACTACTCACGCACCAATTCGTGGCACACACTGTGCGATCATTCCGACATTTAGACTCCTGTAGCTACAGTAAAGCCCGACGAGCCTGACTTCTGGCGCGAGACGAATCCAATCTGTCACAACTTGCCTGCACAGCATTTACGTTATGCCGTGTCAAGACTAGATACCCGGGTCGGCACTCACGCTTTACGTTAGTTTTTATATATTCTTGATATGGCCGTGGCTTCGGCCGCGAAACAGCCACTCAAGACCTCGGACCGTGGTTCGGCACGGCAACTTGATTACATTTGGTTAATCCGAAAACTAAGACCTTGCGAGACTCGTTCGTTTGCTGATTTACGTTAGATGTGAAATCTTGCGTCTCTAAGCTTGCGTAGTAGCTTGCGCAGACAAACTGCATCACCACGCACTCATGGGCGAGCATCATCCGGTATGTATGAACACGTACAGAAACCTTTTCCTTGCATCTACCTGTAAGTATACTTATTCTGCGATCTGACTGTCGTTCCAAGCGGCATACTTATCAATCGCTAGATAGCATGACAATTACTGTCTATCGACGCAATGGAAAGGTAGATCACAATACGTGAACGTGATCAGTGGCAGTCAATGGTAAGCAGGAAACGATCGGATCATTGCTGTTGATGATTGATCATCATCTTATGCACACCAGATAAAACATCAGATGGACGGAATGTGAGCGTGTGTTGGGACCAACCCATAGGATGTGACGTAAGTCGAAGGTTGTACAAGATGATCGGCATAGCGATTGGTCTCGAGAGGCCAAACACTGCCGACGTTATCAGCAGAACGTCTAACGTGGTCACGATCGGTCTTGTCAACATACATTTGAAGCCCACATATACAGTAAACTCCTCAATCGCTTGTTAAATATTGCTGTCTGTGCCTGCAAGACAGGCATCAGAATGGTGGCGCGGCCATTGGAAACTGCACGGGTAATTGCTGAGCTGTGACTTGTCGCGTGACAAAAGCTGCGAGTCTCTCGATACCCACCGACGACTGAGGTATGATGAAGTGAGGGAATAGTGTAAACACGTGGGGCATGTGCTCGTGGACGTCCAGTTCCACGTCCACCCCATCAGATCGAGCGTTCTTGACAAGTTGCAAGGACTGTTGGTGCAAAATGTCAAACTCAGCGGTCTGAACAAAGAGTGGAGGCAGTCCACGTAGATCTGCCTGCAGCATGGCACCTTCACGCCACGACCACCACGGCGTATTGCGAACGCACAAATCTCGAATAGCATCCAACATGGACTTGGAGATGAAGCAGTACTCGGACACAGCGACATCTGCCGATAAGTCTGCGTACGGACAGTTGCACAGTGCTGCGAGAGGCATCTCACGTCCAGCTTGTCGTAGCCTCAGCAACGTTGCAAGGGCCAATCCAGCGCCAGCACTGTCGCCCGCTAGAATGATGTTTTGAGGTAGCACGTGTTCATGGTGAACGAGGTAGTCGAACATCATCATGGCGTCATTCAGCGGGGCAGGGAAGCAGACCTCGGGCAGCTTCCGGTAGTTGGCCAGCAAGATCTGCACGTCCATGGCAGCACAGTCATCTGCCTGTCCACAAACTGCTTGAAGCTGGCGCTGAACTTCCGTGAGCAGACGGCTGGCAAAGTCTACAAAGAAGCGAGGGCTGAAGAGCGCGTAGCCCCCGCCATGGTAGTACAGCACGACGATCCGTCTCTTGACATCCACAAAGTTGTTGCAGCTGGGTCGAGAACGTAGCCACAGATGTTCGAGACCGTTGTACCGGAAGCTCTCGAGGTCCTTGTTGTGACGCCAGCAGGCCCAGATCCCCAGCACGCGTCCAATGAGCTCGAAATTGCGTCGGAAAGCCAGTGCGTTGTGCAGTTTGAGGATATGGCCGCCGTTCTGTTGACCAGCAGCGAAGGCAATGGCCTGGAACCACTCGTACCAGAGTGTCCACTCTGGGAACTTTGGGTGCAGTCCGCGTCGAACGGATTGCAAGACGGCGGCATGAGCGGCTGCATTGACATGCGCTGCTAACGTGCAGACGTCAGGGAACGAGAGACAAAAGGGTCGGAGCACTTCGTGCAGAGCCAGCAGTAGCACGAGTTTTGACAGCAGCACAAGGTGTGCGAGTCCGAGCCATTGCAAGAAAGTTGCATTGACCCACAACGAGGCAGCTGCGATGACTAGAAAGATGGGCACAGTGTAGGCGGCAGCATAGCCGAGAACACGGCGGCGCGCCAACTTGTGCACGTGCTGTCGGACGTACTTCATCGAGGTGAAGAGAGAGAGAGAGAGAGAGAGCGCGCGCGTGCTTTGACACCAGCTACTTGAAAAGTGAGAGATAGCGCGTGGGCGCGACCGTGTGATACGTTCCGAGTGTCCCTTTGATAGTGAACGTTAGACGTCAATGGACGACCGACGTGACATCTTGGCGTCGACCTGAAGGCCCGTCGGCGTAGATGGAGTACCGGCTACGGAGCACGTCGTGAGGTCGTGCGTCGATCGTCTACGGCTGTAATGGTCTCTGCTGTCGAGCGCGTACCACGCTCGAGAACGACCACGTTTTAGCAACAAGAGCCGTGTCTGGACGTCTTCTCAGCCGACAAGAAGGGCATCGCCTGCCTTACTCACACTATCGAGAAGGCTCAGCATGACTGTAACTACTACTCTGCGACTGGTTCAACGTCGACTTGAGCTGCACGCAGTCGCACCTGTCGGGGCAGAGGGTGCGTCCTCTTTTGATGAGCCTCTTTTCCTTCTTACTGGATTCGGCGCTAGTTCCTGTTGCTTGGCGCACACTGTGTTACTTGCCCCGTTTCAAGGGTATGTTCCTGAAGTTGCGGCCGTGGCCCATGTAGCAGCTCGAGATGGATCGACAGGTGCGACGAGATGGATGGATCGATCGAACAAACAAACAGACGCGTCACTGTTTGCGTGGCCTTTTGCGACCTGAGAGAGCAGCACAACAATGATGATGGGTGCACTGCTGCACTGGTGATGATGATGACGCTAGACTGTCTTGTCTTCTACAAGCGCACGTGTCCGCGGTTTATGGCTGCTGCACTCACAACGTCAGTCGGGTTGCGACGGACCAGTAGTCCCTCGTCTCTCTGTTCGACAAACTTTCCTAATGGCGCTGGACGTTTTTGTGGATAACATGGGGACGACGGGAAGGAATGCCACGGCGCAATGTGGAAGTGCGGTCGCGGTCACCGAATGTGACGCGACCGTACGCTCTCTTCCATTCGCATCAAGCGAAGAAGGCGGCGAATGTCAGGACCACGGGAAGGGTAGTGGTAGCTCGAATCAATGGAGACGTGGTCGTCGTCTAGGTGCAACAACTAGCACCGGTTCTATGGTCACCGGAAGCAGAGCTGACTCGTACAGCACAAGCTTTGGTTGCAGGTGACAGGACGGCAATGAATGAACAAGCATCAAGCACTCGTTCTGGGATTACATTGAGTGCTTACTCATCGTCTCTGTACATTGCTGCACGTCAGGAGGTCACGCTCGGCTTTGACATACTTACACAAGCCAACCGACAGGAATCGCCGCACGCATCTTACAGTGCCTGCGCGAAGACCAGAGCGCTAGTAGAAAAGACGGCGGTTGAGCTTCCGTGAACTAGAGCGCGTGGGTGAGCTCATGGGATTGCCCGTGAGAGACCTGCCCTCCACCGTCGCTGCCTTCTTGTCACGTACGTGTCGATCACGTGCACGGCTCTTGCGAGGAGTAGTCACCGCGTGAAATACCCCTCGAGTCTCGAGCATATCGGACGGTCGGGTGGTCATGGCCGTCGACTGCGCATCTTCGAGTAAGGCGCAATACGAGATGGGCGATGCCAAATATGCGCTGGACGTCGTATCCTTTGCGATAGAGGTGTGTTTTGAAACAACGCTTCGTACGAACGGCGTCAGTTGGAAGAACTCGCCACAAAGCTCGTTCGGTTGAGGCGTGTACGGTGGCAAGAGATCCAGATTGTCATAAAAGTGCTGGCCATCGTCGTCGAGTTCAAACTCCAACAAGTCGCCGTCGCAACTATCCAAGTAGTTGCAGATCCATTCGTAGCCGTCGCCAGTTGCTGTCTCGCGGGGGTGCCCTCGCCAGCACATCCGTTGACCTTATCCTCTAGCGCTCGATGTTAGAAAGTGAGATCCCGCGCGCGCGACAAGCCGTTTCAGCAATACGTCGGTGCTAGAAACGCCGTCTTCGGCGGAAAGTGCACCATTGAAACGAAGTCCGAAGGGCTGTACTGTCTTGTTCAGTGAACGGTGTATGGCTCCTTTCTGCAATGCTTCGGTAAGCTTGGCCAAGAATACGCGTTTGCCAGCATCGTAGAGTATGTACGCTTGCGAGGCTCGATTGAGGTTGTGACGCGGTGTTCTGGGTACACGATATGAGCCGACACTTCTCAGCTATTGACGTGAGCTGTTGACATTGCTAGAACGGTGGCGCTCATGTGTCTGATAGATCCCGTTTGATACGGCATCGATGTTCTGGATAAAGTCTGTGCTGCATGCCGTGTCCATGAGGTGTGTAGCGTTTTTCTAGCGGAGAGGGCGGATCCTCTGAGACGGCACTTCTTCATCAGCTTTGTGAGCTCTCCAGTATCTATAAACCTGTATGAGCGGTTGGTTGGATGCTGCAAAAGTAGCGAAAGTGTTGTAAATGCTGCCGTATTAATAGCCTACGTTCTTAATGACATCACCTTCGTCAACTTGCAAGACGAATACGGGTCCCTCGATAATCGATGCGATCCAATATTTACTTCTCTTGCTACGAAAGCGTAAGTTTACGGTATCCATTCCACTACAAACAGTAGGGATTGCATTCAAACGACACCTTTTAGTGTGTAATAAGTCTACTTGATGATGGCATACTAGATCACTGGCACTAGTCATTGCAGGCGCATTGATACAACGCTGCTGTGTGATTTTCCTGAATGGTAGTTTTGACACCGCCTTTTGCGCTACCGCTCAGCATTCCTAATTTTTGTAAAAACTGTGAAAAATCTGATCGATGACCGCGTGAGTTCATATGAGCAATCCTTACAAGTTGCGCCAGAATAGCGTACATGTGTAATTTGTAGAGTCATTTTGTTATGAGTATCCCTACCGTAAAACGTCCGTTCGTCAGTCAAGAGACAGCATAGGTTATTCTTCTCATATTCTTCGATGAAAAACGGCAACGAAAAGAAGTATTCTCATATTCTTCGATGCAAAAACGGCAACGAACAAGAAGTACGCATTCAATCTGTACCTGTCGCGATTCTGATAGTATACATGGATATTGCAGCACTTCGGAGTATTTTGTAGCCACTTGCGTGTATTCCTAGACTGCCTAGGCTTCTCATTCCGTATATTCAAACCAAAGCTTACAAGCACATGCAGACAGCGCTGGTTGATACATTCAACCAGATGATTGGGTGTTGTCATGAAGTGGTAACCCCAAGCTATCAGTAGCGCTTTCTCGGATACATGACGGGTAGAGTTGCCGGAGTGTATAATGATTTAGCGAAGATTACTGCGAATGCGATGAATGTGCAATGACCACATCGGAATGTTTGATAGAAAGGAGAACAGAAGCACCCGGATTACCCTATATCAAGCCAAATAAGGTAATATCCATGCATAGATATATAGCTGTTGTAAGGCTACAATGTTTCGGATTGCCAACAAGGCACTGTGCCTTCGTCTTCTATGTACTCTTGGCATATGCTTGACGGCGTATGACACGATAAACATCCTTTGTCTATTTGGCCTGCTTCTGTAAGCTGCACTTATTTGTTTGAATGGAAATGTATGACTATAATATGACAATCACATGTCAATGTCGCGGACATTCTGATACTGGCCAGCAATTAGCTTCGTTCTTTCTCGTTAAGGTGACTTTGATTTGGTTGAAAGCGATCAGCAACATCTGGGAAATACGGATGTTGAATTGTGGGCTCGAAGAAAGTGACCCACTGGCTAACGAAAATTTGCAGTTGATAGTACTGTGATATTCCAAACTGGTTATATGGTCTCCCTACCGATTGACACAGATATAGACCCCTATTTCTAGCTAACTCAGTAAAATGTCCTACCGTCATCTTTAGCGTCTAGCTTCGATCGGTACCGCCGCTACCTTTGTAGCATGCGATCGGCTGTAGCGAGCATAGAGGATGCTAATGTCGAATGGACCACTGCTACCTGCTGGTCGTTTACTGACTAGCCGAGATCTCGACGTCCCCATTGCATCTTGCTTTGGCCACGTAATGTCATTGCAATGCCTCTTGTCTGTTTGTTTTGTACATATTACAGAAAGATGAATATAAGCATATAGATGAGACGTTGCCGCTCTACGTCGTACCCCCTCCCTGCCTTATAAACCACACGATAGTCGCCGAGGTGCTGCAAAGTCACCTGCGAGCTAGATGCAACATTTGAAGCCTACGCAGTATCCCATCTCCTTCTTTTGTGGTCTAAGTAGTTTTCCGGCTCGATAATCAACATTTGTAACGATAAAAGTAGAACCCCTCTCAGGCAATACAGTTGGACGGGTGAGAAAATATGAGGTAGTAGAGATTATTAGATAAGTTGGACGACCAGTTTTGTGCACGGTATCACACCAGTGCACGATGCTGATTACTATCCAACTTGTAACCTGAATATTTCGAATCTAAGCAATTAGATTGGCACATGAGTTTCAAACCGGTATAATGACCGATTCGCTGTGTGCAAAGTAATTGATCGTTTTAGAGTGGGGTGGTAAGTAAGAGGGCATTATTTGATATTGAAATCGAATGAAGAAGAAGAAAGCAGATTGGTTATGCGCTGAGGGCAATACGAAAAGCAAGACGTCGTCGATGATCTGGAGAGAGTGCACAACGGTGTACCGTACGCCGAGGTCGTGCGAACACCGTCTGTTCCGTTACGTACCCTGTTCAAGAAGGAAAAAGGCCAGCAAGGGGGTCCCGACTGAAGATCTGCGCCACGGCAAGAAGCCTACAATATCAGAAGATCTTGAGAGCCACCTGGTGTAGTGGATTGCCGCCATGCAGCGCGTGAGCCTTCCTGTTACTCGCATAGAGACCATGAAGCGCGCCAGTATGACCTACGACGCGCTGCAGAAGCGCACAAGAGCCATCCAGTCGACGCAACTAGCGTCTGAACGGGTCGCGCTTCCTTGGTCTCCACCCAATTCTCGTACCATGCACTGCGAAGAGCATCGTGAGAGTGCGAAATACCGTGGGGAGGTCGTCGGTCGACGTTCTTTTCAACACTATAAACAAGATGCTTGTCTAGAATAAGATCGAATCGTCGCGGTTCTTTAACATGGACTAGACTTCATTTGCGCCGAATCTTACAGCTCGCACCGTCATTGCAATCAAAAGCTTCAGAATTTGTGGACGCAGGAGATCAAGCCCAACCTCCACATGTCCATTGTGGTGGCCGTTAGTGCTTCTGGTGTAGCGGTCTCTCTGCCTATCACCCTCCCTGGTGTTGGCCTGCATAAGATAGAGCTCGCAGCGCTCTCAATCGACGGCGCGCGAGTCACAGTTGCGCCATTGGGATTCATCAATGCCGAGATCTTCAAGGACTGGTTGGTCATCTTCTCTATCGTGCTGGAAGCCCAGGGGATTCAATAGCCAGTCATTTTTGAACTTGTACAACTCTTCCACGCATGTGAATATTGGCAAGTTTTGCAAAGCATTTTTATCACTATATTCTTCCTCAAATCACTTTACCCGGGTTTTCGTTCTTAGAGTCGATGATCTTCTGCTGCGAACATGGCACCCTGATGGTCGCCTTGCCAGCAACACGACGCACAACTTCCAGACGCTTGATGCATCCGTGTTGAAGCCTTTCAAAACAATCTTCCTCGAATGTCTACAGCTTCAAATGTGTGAAATGACGGACTTAGAGCTGTCCAAACAGACAGCCATCAATATTGGGTGCTATGTATACCACAGCGCCATCATTGAGAACTCCAGCAATGCAATTGAGGGCTTCCGGGGAACTTAACGACACCCTCTCTTTCTTATTCAACTCCACAAACGTTTTGATGAGTATTAAGATGGTGGAATAAAAGACACCTTTGACAATTTACCCTGGCTTGTTAGCCGTCAATATGTGGTCGCCACAGTCCATAATTCGATCCTCACTCTATCTCCAGAGCCTCTAAGCAATCAGAAGAAGCGTAGAACAACGATCTAAATCGCCAGAAGGCTGGTTTGGTATAGTAGTTAGTTAGTTAATTCTGTAGTATAACAGCCTCAACGTACAGACACAACAATCGCCGAGCTTTGTAGGCGCTTGGATAAATACCTACGCGGCTTACCCCTTCGAGTTCAGTTGTGGCTTTCGCCTGACGGATTCCTTACAATCAATCCTCCAGAAGCCTGTCTGAGCTCAGCAGCTTCCAAACCTCTCTCTTCCTGTGACTTCACAACAACGCAGTACGCATTTTACAGCTCACCGGGCGCAGTAGGCGCCCGACTAAACGAATACGGTGTCCTTGGTAAAAGACTTACCGACTCGTTGCTCGACGATTCTTTGAACAGTGCCGTCTATTGGGTCACTGGCTAGCCGTTTGCGAGTCTTAATGCGGTACCGTCTATTGAGTCACCGTCTCGCCGTGCGACGAGACTGATATTTCGCTGGTAGCGAGCGCTACCCAACCCGGGCCTTCCTAGATTCTTGGCGCTAACGGTCGATAACCTCTACAAGCTATGCCTCTCGAAGTTCGACGGCAGGCATAATCTATCCCACGCAAGGACCGTGGGTGTACGCGTGTCTTCGACTTATATAATTCTGCACCGTATTGATTATCTCCTGTTCTCTCCCTGATATCAAAAGGACTCTTGAGTGATTCTCCTTCGTTCCCCTCATCCTCATATATTGATACCTAGTGTGATGGACCGTTAATCATTTAGCCCTCTCTTCAAACCTTCTCTCGTCGAACCTTGACTCGTCGAGTCTTGACTTGTCGAGTCTTCTCTCGTCGAGCCTTTTCGCGTCGAGACTTTGCTCGTAGGGTCTTCCCTCGTAGAGATATTGATTCGTCGAGTCTTCACTCGTCGAGTATTCACTCGTCGAGTCTTCCCTCGTCGAGTCTTCACTTGCCGAGT